ACATTGAAAAAATCAGAAAGAGTCCATCTTTCTTCTACATATAGAGCTGCTAAATCTCAGAGTCATTATTACCCAGTGGCCTCAATCTAACCGCCTTATTTTCTATTTTTCTTGGTTTCTGATTCTGGGCTCGATTACTTAAACTGTCTGTTGAAAAGGATAAACACATATCGATTTATATCATTATTTCAATATGTATGTAATCTAAATGTAACCCGACCACAGGCGAAGAGTCTTGCAGAGACAAAAAGGGGGGAGGGCTTTTTTGATGGAGAAGAGGGTAGAAGGGGAACTTGTTGGTGGAGAGTGATGGAGGGGCACACATGAGCCAGGTGGTTACAAAGGCCAGGGGCGATGCTAGGGGCTTCCCTCCAGGACGAGCGGTACTGTACCAGCAGTCACCTGCCATCTATCACCTGAGTGTGTGTGTGTGTGTGTGTGTGTGTGTGTGTGTGTGTGTGTCTGAATGTGTGTGTACGAGAGTGGGGGGGGGGGGTTCTGCCTGTCATAATGCTCTAATCCTGAGTGACATTTATCCAATGGAGGCTTCGCTCATTTATCCATCCATCACGTTCTATTCCTCCTTTCAATCCTTTGCTCTGCGCTTTATGTCTTTCCCTCCCTCTCTGCTTGTTGCTTCAGACAGACAGTCAAACCAACCCTGCATACCAAGTACTTACAAACACACACACACACACACACACACACACACACACTGAAATTACAACTCTGGCGTAGCATTGTAGATGTAGTTTTACATTTTGAGTTGTACAGATGTGAGTGGGAGTTATGAGTGTGTGTGTGTGTGTGTGTGTGTGTGTGTGTGTGTGTGTGTGTGTGTGTGTGTGTGTGTGTGTGTGTGTGTGTGTGTGTGTGTGTGTGTGTGTGTGTGTGTGTGTGTGTGTGTGTGTGTGTGTGTGTGTGTGTGTGTGTGTGTGTGTGTGTGTGTGTGTGTGTGTGTGTGTGTGTGTGTGTGTGTGTGTGTGTGTGTGTGTGTGTGTTCGTCAGCCATGACAGATGCAATGGGAGATGCTTTCATTAGTTGTGTTTGAAGCTCAGTGGGGTCACAGCAGTAACAGACATTTATTTACAGCACACTGAAAGCTCCCCCAGCTGACACATGCACACACTCACAAGGAGGTCTTTCATGTGACAAGCTCCCAAAAGGTAATAATATAAAACACTCAGCAGGAGAAGTAACCCCGGACCCCTTCTACCCTTTTCTCTCTTTCCTCCCCTCTTGGCCACTGCTCCCCCTTTCTGTGTTGCTCTCCCTCCGTGTGCTAAGTATAGCAGCAGTAATGGTGATGGATGCAGATGGAGGGAGCAGGTCTTAAATGTCAAACTCAAACCAGTGTTCCACTGAGACAAAAGCAGCTGGACACATCCAGTGTTATTTAACACTTGTACACTTACAAGCAACCACTCACAGATGAGGTTCTGCACTGCCCCAGACTGTTATAATGAAAGAAATGGACGCTCAGACCAGTGCAAACTAATTTGAACGAAATTATATTCTTAGAGAATATCATAGTTACTCTTGTAATCAGTCAAAAGGAGGCAAACGATTTTCTATACAGTATGAGTAGCAGCATTACCGGCATGTTAGTGGTTAATTACACAGGGTGGGTCATAAGATAAGATAATTGGGAAATGTTTGCGTTGCAACAGCAAAAAAACAAGACATTGCACTTAAGTAGAAATTAAAGAGTAAAAAAACAATACTAGAATTTAAACATCTCAAAACAGAATTAAAGCAGCATTACAATTTGGAAAATATACGGCTGACCGTGAAGATAAGACATCTATAAACTCTGACAATCATCAGAGCTGCTGAGCCTGTTTGTCTGTGTGTTCCTACCTATGCTAATTACAAACCAGGGCTGAGAGTGATAGCCCCCCCCCCCGCTCTCGGGGGGGGGGCGCTATCACTCCCTATCACTACCTTTATAGATACTGTCTTTTTACGTTAGTGAGCCGGATCATTTGGCTTGGCTCTCTTAAAGTGCCGGCTCTTTCGGCTCCCAAGCGGCTCTTCATGTTACCACAGTTTACCTGAAAACTCTGGCAGGAGCACTCATTCAAGGGTACTATGACTATGCTTGCACGTCATGGTACCATAGCACCTCCAAGGCGCTAAAAATAAAACTTCAAACATCGCAAAATAAACTGGTCAGACTACTGCTTGACCTTTCATCTAGAACCCACCTCACCTCTGCCCACTTTGACAACCTAGGATGGCTTAGAGTAGACGACAGAGTACAGCTACTTGCAATGGGCCTGGTCTACAAGATCCACTACACCTCTATGGTACCCATGTACATGTCAAAATTCTTCCCAAAGGTCAAGGAATACCATGATCATAACACCAGAGGGAGCTCCACAAATCATGTGAAACCCAGATTTGGCACAAAAAAGGGGGAATACACGTTTCGCAATTATGCCACATCAAGGTGGAACGCTCTTCCCACAACTGTAAAGGAAAGTAAAACTATACTTACCTTCAAAACCTCTCTTAAAGAGCACCTTCGGGGGAGAGCATTGCAAAACTGGCCCCGGTAATGGTACAAATCTCAACCTGTCGTTCAATGGACAGCTTCCCCCCCCCATCTATGTATATACTCGCATTTTAGACTCTGTTACTAACTGTATATCTGTAGACTTGGTATGTCTTAAATGTCCGGTTAGGATGTATTAGAACGAAATCTAAAATGAAAATTGTAAACAAGCAATCTGTATGTAAAAAAACACCTGTATGTAAATTGTAAATAAGCCATCTGTATGTCAAATATGTCTTATATGTCTTAAATGACATGATGAATTGGAAATGGGGGACCCTGATGTAAACAAGACAAAAGTCTTTCTCTGGTCTGCATCCCCTTAACAATTGTATGTTTTGAGCTGTACTGTACTGTACCCAATATACAAGCTGTTAATAAACTTTTCAATCAATCAATCAATACCATGGAGCCTCAGTTTCGCCGCTGCGAGGCTCTGGTGCTCGCAGCTCACGCGCGTGCTCCACTAGCACCGCTCATCGCGTCCAAATCGCGTACGTTCCGTGTTGTCCTGTAGCAGGCATCGCCGATGTCGGGGAAACGATCAGCAATACTCCGAAAATAATCCCACCAGACTCCTTTGCCCCTCCAACAGAGGAATGTCCTTGTCCTTTTTCCTTTTCGTTATTTCAAGCGATAAAAACTCTCAATCTTCTCTCGAATTATTAATATTGTTGGACGCCCTCGGCTCGGGTTCAGGGCGTCCCGAGCTGAATAAGGGCGTCAAATGACGGCAAGACGCCCCCCTGGCGGAAACGCTGGCTCATCCACACCATATTAACGGGTGAGTCAGTGTGTAGGTTTTTTTTTATCAATGGAGAACAACAGAGTGTTTATTCTACTCTGCACATTTTTCACAAAGTTGCTATATTAGGTCTTTACAGGGTCAGGCTATTAATGCAAGGGCAAACCCAGCATGAGAATCCTTTTATTTATCCGATAATGAGGCTGTTTGTAGCCTTAAATGTCTTCAAACAATGTCCAGCCCCTAGAATCCCGCCTAAGTGTGATTTAATTGAGATGATGCAAATAAAGCATTTAAAAAATGGGCATGCTTGTGTTTTTATGTGTGGGCCAGAAGACAAAGCCGAGGGAGGTGGGAGATTAGTGTTGGACAAAGGTGATTCAGTGGAGCCATACAGTCTAACGCGATGCTTTGTCTGTGGTTAAATGGCTAATTTTCTACTATACTGCAATACTGTAGGGACTCTGCATGAATGAAGGGAGTGTGAAAGAATGAAGAGAGGAGGAGTAGGACCTCTCCATCACTCCGACTATGACCTTCCAAGAGTCACGCTGCTATAGAGTACAGAACTAATGCCTCAATATATTATGGGAATATGCTGCATTATCATTATGCCTCTCCTTCTCACTATCACTCTCCCAGTCTTTCTCTCAAACTCTGAAACGCAATGCAAAGACACACACACATTCAGGAGTGTTTCTGCTATACAATATTTGATGATGAAATATTTGCGCACTGCAGGTTGGAGAAACATAGAGAAACAGAACAGGAGAAAAATGGAGAGTAGGGCTGCTCGATTATGGCAAAAATCATAATCTCGATTATTTGGGTCAATAATTGATATCACGATTATTAAAAACGATTATCCATTTACTTTGAAAACATCAATTTATTGGAGAATTTTTTTTGAACAGTATGTTTTTAACAGTTGATTACCCTGAACTTTAAGTATAACTCAACTGAAAAACCAAAAAGAAAGAAAAAAAATTATACTTTTTTTATAATAATAATACAAAAATAATTGTTTTATTTCGATTACGTTGTTTTCGTAATCGTTGCAAGCCATAATCGTAATTGCGATTAAAATACGATTAATTGAGCAGCCCTAATGGAGAGAGCAAGTGAGTTGAGCCTTGTGAGCGGCTATTCTTCCTCTCTGCTCTGTATTGTATTCTATGTGAAGCAGTAGTTGTAGTCACTTCAGGAGATAACATATAGACTTCCTGGACAAGAGCAAGGTCAACACAGGCGCCATAGCGACACTCACTAATGCATGTGCACAATGCCCACAATCTTGCACACAATAGAGGGTGAGCAGAGAGGGAGGACCGAGGGAGATAAGAGCAAAATGTCACCACATTATTTTTCAGGAGAAATAGCCGGAGAGGAGAGCAGTCACATTTTTAACTCTAATCCCGCCAAATGTTCATTGATTCGTGTGTCATGCTGTATTGATGGATGCCATTCATACGATACCAGAGTTCAATGCCTCCGATCTAAAATAACAAGATGTTGCTACCATCAGTAGCTTTGACCTGTGCTGTGTTGTTTTTTTGTAAGATTACTGTTGAAGTCTTTCGTGGTCCGTGTGATTGATGATCTCGAGTTAATGGAACTGGTCTGAGTTAGATGGACGTCCTTGACTGGAAGATGTACTGTAGACTTCACAGTGTGTGTGTGTGTTTGTGTGTGTGCAGGGCAGGATCGCAGCGAGTCGACTCTCATCAGGCGTTTTAAGGGTGATGGCGTCCGCTACAAGGCCAAGCTCATCGGCCTGGACGAGGTCACTGCCGCCCGTGGAGACAAACTCTGCCAGGACTCGATGATGAAGCTCAAGGTAAGGAGGGTCTGTTTCCTCTTCTCTTTTCTCTCTGTTGATGTGTCGTAAATTAAAAAACGTACCTGCTCTTTGAAGTTACTGCATAAAGCTTGCTTCTATAGATCTAAGTAGGGAAAATAGATGAAAATGAGGATGCTAGGATGTAGGGGTGTAACGGTTCACAAACATTTCGGTTCGGTACGTACCTCGGTTTTTTGGTCACGGTTCGGTTCGGTACGTTTTCGGTACAGCAGAATTTTTTTTCACAAAACAAAACATATATATATATTTTTCATTATTATTAAACTGTGAATAATGTATTCACTCAAATAAATACAAAATATAATAAAATAAACATTAAGGTGCAGCATTTCGATGAACTGAAATAATCTGTATTTGAACTTTACTGTAGGCTACTAGTACTCACAAAACATAAACTATTAGTTTTGGGTTTTTAATTATTATTAAACTGTGAATATTCACTCAAATAAATACAAAATATAATAAAATAAACATTAAGGTGCAGCTTTTCGATGAACTGAAATAATCTGTATTTGAACTGTACTAGTACCTAAGCAGCCAGCTTGACATTAGGACTTGCTTGTCATTGTATTTTCATGTTGTTTTAAAGAAAGATGAACTTGTCCACATTGCTTGCCGAAAGGACAGATCTGCTGGCACTAACAATGTCTCCTGCTGTGGAGAACACCCTCTCTCTAGGGACAGAGGTAGCAGATACAGCCAGGTAGCGCTTTGCTAACATGGCAACATAAGGATATTTGGCGTTTGTAATAGCTTTGGCTCGGTCTGAACTCTCTGCGAGTGGTGGAGGCTTAAATGCTAGTGGGAGTTGGGTTTGCACTTCAGTCTTTTTTCTTTTGGTACCGGTGATATTCACGTTCGGGTGATGCCTTTTCAAGAGTGTGCAAGTTTGATGTATTGCCAGCCGCGTAACCAATTTTAGTTGAACAATGCCGACAAACAGCTTTGGTTCGGTCCACCTGTCTTTGTCCGTCATCCTTGTACGTAACTGCGAAACCAAAATGTTCCCAAACCGGAGACTTCAATGATGCTGGAGGATTTTCGAGCTCAACTTTATCTGCGTTCGCCATTAATTTTCGACAGTTCCTCAAATTACTGACTACATCTGAACGCATCCCTCTGACCAGCTCTCATAGTATGCCTCTCATCCAATGAAATGACTTGCTCGCTCTATGACGCGTTGAACCCAATGTGACCAAATTACTCTGAATGCTGCGACGCAGCACCTGAGATTACTTCCAAAAAGTTGTTCACGTTCTCAATTTTTTTACGTTAAACGTTATATTCGTTCGGTACACTTCGGTACACACCTGTACCGAACCGAAGGGCCCGTACCGAATAATTTCGGTACGGGTACGTGTACCGTTACACCCCTACTAGGATGGGGAAGTACAAAGTAGCTGTATGAATAAGAAGGGGATCGTTGTGAATGTGTCCTCTGCAAGAACAGGAGAAATAAGCCATTTATTTATGCCTTTATAATAAATGAAATCCTAACAAAGAAGCAGTTATATATATTATTACTGTAAGTTGCAGATGGAGAACACTTTTCTTTATTACATGGACCTTACAGTGAATACAAAATGTTTCTTATTTTTACACAAATGTATGCTGAGAGAAAACAGTCAGTGTGTAGAGCGCCCTATTCATTATTAATCGTCCTTTATCACACGGGATCATCGCACTGCAGGAGATATTCGAATAGAGAAAATTGCATTTACGTTTTGTTTATATGTAGTGAAAACTCTATCCAGCCGGGGTGTAGAAGGGTGAGGAGAGGAGAGACAGCCCATTGATCAAACAGCTTCCCTCCTCCTCATTTATTCAGACAGGAAATCCATCAACTATTTTTCTCTGATCTCCCCACCTCTTCTTTCATACTGCTCCTCCCTCTTCTCGCCCGACTCTCAATTGTCTGATCTCGCTCCTTTCTTTTCTTCTGCTTTTGTGACTCCCCTATGCAAATGGTGTCGGGGTGGATGTTTGAGGGAGTGCCACCCTTAGATACACTTGTAGAGTTATAAATCAGTTATGTTGTCGTCAATTGTTGCAATTTACCTTTTCGCTGTACCTGCCTTTTCCGCGATTATTGATTTCCTACAATGCTTCTCAGCAGGTAAGGTTTTGCATTCACCTGAACAGAGCAACCATAGCTTGATACTAGATAAGACATATTTGGTGGATGTTTGTGTTCCACCTTAAATAGCTTTTATAGCTTTCAAAGATGTAAATTGACTATTCTTACTTCTGTGGATCGGGGAATGATATCACTTCCTCTTTGGTGATTTCCTTCAACTGGCAGTTATTGGACAGTTAAAGAAATATCCATTTATGGGCTTACATTCCCATGAATTAAAGTCATATGTTTCTGTCCTGCTTCTAACATTGTTTCTTCTTGATGTGTGTGTGTCCTCAGGGTGTAGCAGCAGGAGCGCGGTCTAAAGGAGACCACAAACAGAAGGTGTTTCTGACCATCTCCTTTGGAGGGATCAAGATCTTTGATGAGAAGTCAGGGGTAAGCTCAGAAGCACGTGTGTGTGTGTGTGTGTGTGTCCTCTGTAATGAGGCATCTCCATGAGAGGGAGGGGCCCCTGGGGAAATCATGAGGCCCTAATTGAAACCCTGAGAACAAGGCCTCCGTAGATGAGAGAACATGGCTATCCTATTGTGTGCCTCTCTGAAAACAGCGACAACACTGGTTCTGGATTACGCCTCAGGATTATACATTTTCCATCTCACATCGCTGCTTTTGTGCTTGACCGACTGTCTATGTACGATTTGATGTCCAACTGATATGATTCCCCCACCTTTTTTACATTTTTGTAATCACTCTTAGCCCTGGATCTGCAAGACTTCTACTGAAGAGAGGTACCTGAATGATCCAAATAACCCCCACAAAAAGCAACATAGTTTATCTGTATTTCACTGGTGTAGAGATTTATAGACAAGTCTGGCACTCATGGGACCATTCATAGATAAAGGACAGTCCGTGAAGTCAGCTGTTAAATACCAGAGAGAGTATGCATGCATCTCAGGGGAAAGTCGCCATTAGAGCGCAGTGATTTCTTTCTCAAGGATCCTCTGACAGTTATTGTCCAGGTTCGATTCCCCAACTGGCCTTATCTGTCACACTATCCTTGAGCAGGAAATATAATGCCTACATTTCCCAGGACACTTAGCGCTGTGGCTGGAGGACAGCCTCATTGAAGGGGCCATTTCACCATCATTTGTGTTCATAATAGAAAAGTCAGATTCAATCCCAGAAACTCCTAGAAATATGATGGACTCAATTTGCTCACTGCAGACCACTCAGAGCAGCTGTGCATGTTACATTTTATATTTTTGGCAGCTGGAGTGAAATTGTTTAAACATAATAGACGGTATGTGGAAGAGGGATATTGTTGTTAAAGGATACAGGGGTAGGATTTGGGAATTTGGCAAAAAGGTGACAATCAAGTTATTTTAGCCCAGAAGGTGGTGTTTTATTGTATTTTAAAATGTATTGAATATTATTATTTAAAATCTCTGCGAACCAGAAAGGGCACTGTGTGGCTTAATTTCAAATGTGAGTAAATAATAATACAAATCATTATGAAAAAACATAATAAAGCATTTTCATCTGCTCTTCCTACTCCTCTTGGCCCTCCACACACACACACACACACACACACACCTTGCTGTTGTGTGTGTGAAGTGGTAATTTATAAATGAAGGGTATCAGGCAGGCAGGACAGTAACCAGAGGCCTCCCACATGGCAGCCATATTGCCTGCTGCCAAACTCATCCCTCAGCAGTCCAATCCCTCTTTTTTATAACCCTCATTCCTCTCCGTCTCATTCCCCTTCCTGATGCTTCAAACCCTATACGGTGAAAGATTGAGAGGGATAAAGAGAAGCAACCGGAGATAGATTGAGAGTCAAAGAGGATACCGTGTAGAAGTGAAGAAACTAGAAAAAGGGCGAAAAAGAGAAGGTGAGAAGAAACAAGAATGTGAAAAGGACGGATAAAGGGAGGATGAGAGGGAGGGACAAAGACAGACTGAGACAGAGTTAGAGGGATAGGTAGAGAATCAGTGAACATATGTCAAAGTAAAGCTGTCTATAGAGAGACTTTGTCCTCTGTCTCCACACATTCATATTAACTATAGAGATATGCTGTCCTTACTATCAGGCCTTCAACCACTTCTAATGGCTTGGGACGGGGGGGAGAGGGGGAGTCGGAGGGAGAGAGAATGACTGCTGAGGTTCAGGGTTCTTGACAGTCTCGTTCCCCTCCTGTGCATCAGTCAGCCAGATGGGCGGATGTATGTATGGGTGAGAGAATGGATGGATGGCTTCTCTGTTGGAGGAGGGAAGGTCGTGCAGGATGGAGGGAGGTGGTGCTTGAGATGGAGGAGAAGAAGAGGGGAGACATTAATCTAGCAGAGGGCAGACCGGCATGTCTCTCTCTTTCTCTGCCAGAACTCTCTCCACACGCATACACACATTAAGACACAAGCACACTACACACTTCAGCCCTTTTTGTCTCACAAGAGTGAAGGGCTGAGCTCACCAGCCTTCCGCGCCCTCAGAGATGAAATCAGAAAGATCAAATTAGTCGAGTTCAGCCAGCGCAAAGGACTATGTGTAAAATAAAAAGTAGCTTGAATGAAAGCAATGTAGAAAAAATACCCTAGAGCAAAGTATGCCAGACAGAGACATGGAAACAACACAGATGAGGTAAGAGCCAGAAAAACTGGTGATTCCTTCCAGTCTATTCCATACATCCACATTGGGTCGTATCCGAGGGGATCAACTGAGGGTCAAGCTTGACTGGATGAACATTGGGTTACATTTGTATAATGTATGTCTAAAGTTGAGGTAATATCGGGGAACAAAGGAAGTAAGACTAAGTAAGGGCAATTTCTCAAAAAAGCAAGGAAAAATGTGTGAAAAGTGTTTGTTTAGGTGGGGGACTTTTTTCCAGCTGAGCACCTTACTATGTGTATGCTGTATGTGTGTGTTCAGCTTTCTGGTCACAACTCTGTGTCAAACTGTTAGATTTTAAATCAGGATTAATTCCAGGGTAGGAACAGTTGATCTTATGTGCATGCGCCTTTCTGTCAGTGACTGACAAAGAGCTCTCTTAGTTAATGCTAAATGCAAATCTCAGGCCTCTCCCGGTTGGAGACTGGACAGCGTCTTGTGTCTCTGGGGTCTCCCCTTCAGGAGGGCCATGTGAAGAGCTGTGAAGAGGGAGAGAAGGACAGTAGCTGCTGCTTCTCCTGCCCAGTTCCAGCGTCAGGGAATATCTTGGTTTAGTTCTTCTGAAGGGCAAACCGCTCAAACTCAGAAACACCGACACTGTGAGAGAGAGATTGTGAGAGAGAGAGAGAGAGAGAGGGAAAAATAGAGTACACAGTCAGTATTGGGCTTTTCGATAAACCAACCTGTTTTTGCAAACAATCCACTTCCCCAGAGAATACATCTGTTTAAGCAACTTTGAGCGCCATCTCTGATAGTTGATGCTGCCAGACATGTCGGCTCCTGCAGCGGCCAGCCTCCTGGCATTTAATCTTACTGTTGTGTCCAAAACTTACCAAGACTGACACAACAAAAACATTTAGATTATGTTTGTAAAAAAAACGATGCCTCGTTATTAAGAGATCTAAGTAGACATTGTTGTGCCAATGAACAGCTCAGTGGTGTTGACAGTGTAAAGTTAGCAAAACGAGTAAGCAAGTTACAAAAACAGCAGTGTTGTTTGAGTGCTGTCTAAGGTTGCTTATATTTATTTTTCAATTAAATTAAGTACAATTTCATCTGGTTTTAGAGTATGTGTGCATGCCATTAATGGAAGCTCAATTAGGAAAAGTCCAAAGGCAAAAGCCATTTTTAACAGTGCATTGCCAATTCGAAAATGAGGGTTCATACGGAGTCCATTTTTGAGTTTTATCATTAATGTCACATGGTTATTTTCTCTTCTATTTGAGGGTTAGGAGATTTATGGGTAAACTAACGGCATAAAAGGCCAGTACCACTTCTCCTCTTCACAGCACACGTGAAAGACCAGGTGCATCCCCTTCATGGTTTCCTCTATCAAGTTCCTTGTCAAACACTTTCATGGATGTTAAATCTGTGTATCAACACATATGGCAGCATAGGCCTCCCCTGACAAACTAGGTACTGACTGTAAGCATATGCAAATTGTGTCTACTCTCTTAGAAGATTTGGCTACCAAGTCGAAGAGCAATTGAATTCTCGTTCTCATCTGTGAATCAGAGTCTCTCTCTGTCACCTCACCACCCACCCAGAGATAATTCAATAACCTCTGCAAATGAACCCTGTGTGTGTGTGTGTGTGTGTGTGTGTGTGTGTGTGTGTGTGTGTGTGTGTGTGTGTGTGTGTGTGTGTGTGTGTGTGTGTGTGTGTGTGTGTGTGTGTGTGTGTGTGATGTGTGTGTGTGTGTGTGTGTGTGTGTGTGTGTGTGTGTGTGTGTGTGTGTGTGTGTGTGTGTGTGTGTGTGTGTGTGTGCACGCGTGTGCATCACATTTGCACGTAGCTTTCATTTTCAGGTCAATCAGAGGTGATAATAATAATCATTACTCTAATTATTAAATTTAGAAGACATGACTCCTACAATGATTATCTATTTCTTCTGGGGCCCTCTGTGTGTGTGTGTGTGTGTGTGTGTGTGTGTGTGTGTGTGTGTGTGTGTGTGTGTGTGTGTGTGTGTGTGTGTGTGTGTGTGTGTGTGTGTGTGTGTGTGTGTGTGTGTGTGTGTGTGTGTGTGTGTGTGTGTGTGTGTGTGTGCCAATGCCCCATCTTAAATTGGTGTCACTCTGTTCTGCCCTGTCTTGGGTCTGGAATAGCTTCAAAGAGAGCCGATGTGTGTGTTTAGCCTCTGATGTATAGAGCTGCAGCATGCACTGAAGGGCTACTGGGTCATTATGGTGACTGTGTGTCTCTGCTCCCAGCATGCAGTTGGCCTAGACAATAACAACAAAGCAGACATTTAGTGTGACTTAACAGGGGGCTATTGCACATTAAGTTGTGATTGGGTTTGTGTGTGTGATTGTGTGTGTTGTGCGTAGGGGCACAGATGAAGTGATCAAGTCGACAGCTTGCCGAGCTGTGATTGTCACTGATCCCCCCCCCTGTCCTCGGGAAAACAGTGCCATCTGCCACGGGCAATGCCAGCTTGGCACTCTCCACCCAGGCTAAACTAGAGAGGGCAGAGGAGCTCCAACAGTTTAATATCAGTTGCAAGGTCTCCTTGTCAGGGTGTTTGTCTCTGTGTGTCTCTGTGAGTTTGAATGTGGGGTCTTGTTCTGATTCCCATAGATTTTTGGAAAAGTGCACAAGGAGAATTATTCTGTCAGTTTTTGTAATTTTGTTAGTTAAATAATAATAATAATTAACTTTTTGATATTAGTTTGTATACCTGAAAGTTAATTCAATCAATTAATCAATCAATGTCATTCACGATTTGTTATTCGCAAAACATTATTTCCATTAAGTGATTTCCCTGGTTCCAAGGGTAGCAAATATTAATACTTGAGAAAAATGCTGGGTTTTTTTTCAAACCATTTACATTTTTAAACTGATTTTAAATGTATTTGGTTGTTATAAATATTGGGACAACTGTTGGAGAATACAATCTGAGAATTCATGAATGAAGTCATTATATCAGTAAGAAAGCTGCAGTTCATTGGCATGATGTTGTACATTTTAGATCCAAAGTAATATCACCTGGGTAATGCTTCAACCAGCCCATAAGGCTCTGTCTACATGATTTATTAAACATTCTGTGTCATGCCTCGCTTCAGGTCCTCCAGCATCATCATGCGGTCCACGAGATCTCCTACATTGCCAAGGACATCACGGACCACCGAGCCTTTGGCTACGTCTGCGGGAAGGAAGGGAACCACCGCTTCGTAGCTATCAAGACCGCACAGTCGGTAAGTGTCTGTCTGTACACAGCTGTTTGTGCATGTGGCACCATACACCCGATGTGTGTAGGTTAGTGCATGATTCATCTGGGTCTTTTTTCAATCGCACAAACCTCTTGACATTTAGATAAGGACCCTTGAACACGGTCTCATGTCCCTTTGTGCTTTTCATCAAACAAAACATACTCTCTGGAGCTCTAGGTGTGTGTGTTAGTTCTATGTGTGTATGGAGGGTTCACATTCAGTCCTGCTGCAACATACTCTTTATGATATTGAGCACCCCTCTTGGACCTGTTATGGTTGTTGTTGTTGCTGTTGTTGTATCTATGTGCCTGGCTTGTTTAGTCTGGATCCAGCTGGCTCACTCTGCAGCCATATTGATTTCCCATAGTGAGTCGATGAGGGTTTGAGTGTGTGTCACCAGCTCTAATGGCATATCCATCCTCCCAGGGCCATGAACCGTGGCTCCCTGACTTAGATATATACACACAGTCACACACAGCAGCCAGTACTCAACACACACCCACCAGACCTGCATGCAAACCCAATGCTACCATGACGAACAGCAAAGCATGAGGCTGAGCTCTCATCAGTCACTTAAGCTGTCATTTACATTACATGTGCCTGAGGAAAGGTCACGGTTATATTTTACTCACATTTTTAGGTTTTGAACCCGCCATCCCTCGCACTCAGACCATTAGTTGTGGAGCGTACAATGAGAGGCGTGCAGACCCAGAGCTTATGGCTGAGGCTGTAATTGGAAAGTCACCACTTTGATGTGAATTAACAAAGCGTCTCTCCTCAAAAAGGCTAAGACTTGAGGTTGCTCCGGAAAGGCCAATTTAGGGGTACATTCGAAAGTAATTGGCTAAGTTACCACTCAACCCAAAGTCTCAGCGTAAGAAGGACGTGTTTTATTAAGCAAGTTTTAGTGGAGATGGAAGCACACTAATTGAGTTAGAAGGGCTTTCATAGACTCTGAGTTCATCACTGTCTTTGTTATAACTTTTTAGAAGAGTTACAATTGTAATTAATAATAATAGATATTTTTGTGAGGAAATCAACCTTGTATCTAATTTGTTGAAAGGGTACATTTGAAAGACTACTAGTTTTTTTGTATTCAACTTCTGGCTCCTGGAGTTATTAGATATTTTATTTTGATCTCTTTCAAACATTTACAACAAAACTACCACCAGGAGCAAATCATGAAAGCCACCACAAAAGAGAAAATAACTTTGTGCTAATCATTGGCGAGTCTGGCTTCCTCCGGACAATGTTCTCCTGCTGCTTTATAACAAAAAGCTTTATATTTCACTGCTAATGGAAAAGTTAAGCCAATACATTTGACCTTTTGTAAAATAGAATATGCAAAGTGCACGGTACATTGTACATTTCTGGGTACATGTTGTTGTTTATTGGGTGCTGTACTTCTATTTTAGTTAAGTGGCCGCAAACATTTTTCACTCCGGGTTCAACAATTTCAGATAAATACATTTCGCTCAGGTATATTGCACAACACTCTTCTGTTCACTTTAAATGTTTCTCCCTCTTGTGTTACTGTGATCATTGCTGCGATCGCTTATTCTTTCTCTAGCTGTATATTTAGGCCCATTCTAGAGATTGTTTTTGCAAATGGAGGAAATTACTTGGTGAATTTGATTTAGATGAGGCAGCTGGAGGAATGTTCAATAACATTTAAATAATTAATAAATTCAGTGACAAGATATCTACCAGTCTGTAACCTACACCAGAATGTAATTTTGAGTAAAGTGTGAATTTGTTGCATTAATATTCAGGGGGATTTTTATTTTAACCAAAACTACTGATCAGTGAAGATTTTAAATGAACACTGTCTGCTCTTACCTCGAAGTCATTATACAGAGAGAGTGAAAATGAATGAGGTACAGAATGCTGAAGAAGATGGAAATTAGAGCATGTATTTTCAAATGCATAGAGGATCTGAGTCTGACAGTGACAATATGTTCCCTGTTGGCTCAGCGTGAGCCGCCGTTTACCCAGTGTGTCTGTTAAGAGCAATATGCGGCTGAGAACATCGTGCAGGAAGACGACACTAAAATAGAACTATTTCCATGCTAGGCAGAGTTCAGTCTGTTAACTCTCGGTTGTGAAGCAGGTTTGTTGTCAGTACTTTTGCTCCCCTGACAAGAAGTGGTAATATAAGACAAGATGCCTAGAGAGAAATAGTAGAATATTCAGGTATGTGTCCTATTCTTCCCAATCACAGGATGTAAGAGACAAGGATGTTCTTTTTATTTTCCTTTCAGTTTTCTTTTTCATTTCCTTAAGGTGTATATTTTAATTTGAAGTTTAGAACATTAATAAACTAAAAGTACAGTAGTTATAATTTATTAGAGCATTTTCATGAGGATTGGTATTTAAGAAGAACAGACTTTTAATGTATTTGTTTCTAGTGTTTTACTGACACGTTACTCTGTGGATTGTACCTGGATTGAAACATGTGGATTAAAAAGTAAATATTCTTTCCTCAACTAAATCGACTACATCGAATGCACACATGTAGGCCATGACTAACAGCTAAAACATTTTAGCCGTTACATAGAAAGTGCTTTTTATTTAGAAATAGTCTGGGACGTCCATTCTCTTCGTGTGTAGTAACGTTCAGTTCTTACAAGAATGAGTCAATTTTTACCAATCACAGGGGCACAAAAATCAATTAGTCAAAAAAGACAATGTAATCTTTATAGAGAGCTTTAAAACAAACTAATTGCAGAACTGAGTGTAAAATACTTTTAGCTGCGACTTATTTTTCAGCTTGTGGCCTAATGGAATAATCCATAATGGGCTTGAGCTATCATCAAACCAATCCAGTATCTCTGACTCATCCCGCCCAAGCACATGCTCAGACCCTAAAAATAACTGAAATATTACATCTTAAAGATCTGTTCTGTTTTGGGCCTTTTACCACAGGTGGGAAGATAAGTCGTCTAGAAGCACAGTTCTGAGAAATAATCATGGTGATAATGTTTTTTTGACCGGTGTTGACAGTAGTTTTTACCCAGAAATGTGCACTTTGATATCCCAAAGCAGCCCTCTGCATAGCCCTGTGCCGTTGTAGTGGTATCACTGCAAAATGAATTAGGAGATTATGTTTTTGCTCATATTGGTGTGGCCATGGCCTTAATCTCCTGCCATGATGTAGTGCAGGTTTAGTAAACATTATTCGCCACATATAACTAGAATAAGCAGGCATGGTTGCAATTTGTGAGTTCTGATCAATGCTATGTTTATTGTGTGTGTGTCTGTGTGTTAATGGGAAGGTGCATAATGTGTCCTTATCCTCCCAGGCTGAGCCGGTGATCCTGGACCTGCGGGACTTGTTCCAGCTCATCTATGAGATAAAGCAGAGAGAGGAGATGGAGAAGAAGGCCCAGAAAGACAAGCAGTGTGAGCAGGCGGTCTACCAGGTACTTATGCAAACTCACTGTTAGAAGCTTTGTTTCCCCTGTTTAACCTTATACCTTAATCATTTGCCATAAGTGTGATGAGCTCCATCTGAGAGCCTCTTGACCGACAAGTCAAGTAAGACTTGAAAACGCTTCAAAGCGAGCGAATGACACACGGAGCACCCACTTTCAGGTTTCATCAGTGGCACCATCTGCCCATTGTGCTTAGTTCACCTTCCTCTGTTCTGCCTTCTTTGCATCTCTTGTTTAATTTCTCTTTATCTCTCTGACTGTCTCTTTCTCTCTGATGATTGCCAAATGATTATCTGAATGCTGGGAAGCTGCTATGTCTTGCTGTGCTTTCCGCCTACTCCTTCTACTCCACCGGCTTAACTCTCCGCCTCTTCTGTCTTCTCCCCTCTGCTCCTCTCCTCCCTCAATTTCCTGCCGCCGCTCATCTGCAGACAATACTGGAGGAGGATCTGGAGGACCCGGTCTATCAGGTAACTTTCTGACCAATCACATTGCTGCTGCTGCTGCATTCTATTCAGCTTGCTCTTCTCTGTGTGCACTGTGGGGAGACGGTCCTGTTTGGTTACAGTGTTTGGCGGGTTAGACCTCTACAGATGTTTTTGAGTCCAGATGTGGACTCAAAACCAGTAGGAGATCTTCCAATGATGTGCGACCATGGGTCTTATGTGTCTGTGTGCATGTCTGCCAGTCGGGGTGCATGATAAGCTGAAAGATGTATTACTTTTCTGCTTCGGGAATCCTTGCTACTTATATTTTCCCCGTCAACTTCCTTTTAATGAGAGCCTATTGACAATGCTGTTTGACTAATCACCTCTGCAATTTCACCACCTTTCTCTCAATTTCTTTATCTTCCAATTTCTCTCCTGCCTCTTGTTTTCCTCTCCTCCCTCTGCTGCTGACGTTGTAGTACATTGTGTTTGAGGCGGGACACGAGCCCATCCGTGACCAATCAGAAGAGAGCATTTATCAGGTACTCACAAGCTTGTCTGCTTGTGTCTCAGTTATATTTGTATCATCGTGTGATCAGCTGTGGTTTAGCCACAAACAACAAGAAGCTCTTTAAAGTGTTTAAACAAAGAGATGTAATCTTACATTTGCTTGCTAGTAGGTACTAGACACATCACTCTTTAATGGGATGGATATTTTGTGGCCTGCTCATAAACTTAATGGCTGCTTTTTTTCACTCGTAAAAATGTACATAGATGAAATAAAAGATGGTTTGAATCTGAGGCAACAACTAGCTCCCGCTCTCTAAGGGCCACGACAAGCCTTTCTTTGGGTGCACTCCACGTGGGTAGACCTCCAAGGGCTGAGGAGGGGGAGGGTACCCTGTGTGTGGAGGGGATGTGGAGGTTATTCCTGGCCTGCGTGTAAGGCAGACCCCTCCTCTTTTTCTCTCCTCCCCTTTTTCCATTCCAAAGGAGATGAAAGAAAGCGGGGGAAAGAAAGATTAATCACCAGCCTCTCGTTTGATCTTTAAATAAAATGGATTGAAAATAGACGGAGTACTGGGGCGTGCACAAACACCAACAGAAGATTGCACACACACATACCAACACGCACACACACACACACAAACACACACACACACACCCACACCAGGCATAAGAAACATGAGCCTCAGCCAGCCTCTAGCCACAGAGGAACTAATGTATGAATAAAGATGGCAGCTTCTGGAAATAAACATGTATAAGGCATTGAAAATAAGAGACAGGCTGGGCTAGATAGATATCCGGATACTTAATCAGTGCTATTTTTCATTTGCCACACAGTCTGATCAGGACACGTCAAACTAGAGAAGAATAAAACTTTATTTGAAACATGTCAGTGTGGAACAAACAAAGCCATATAAATCCCAGGTTTCATATATCAGCATTTGGCAGTGCTCATTGTATCTTCTCATTGCACACACTGTCACATCTATCTGCCTGTGTGACATAGAGATATTACATGTCTCCATGTGTGTGACACTCTGAGTTATTACATGTCTGTGGGTGTGATAAGCAGCCTTATCCATTCTTTATTAGGAAGAAAGAGACCATCACAGCAGGCCGATCGTCTACCGATTAGCTAGTAGATGAGTTCTCACTTCAAAGATTTTAATTCTGATTATCCCTGCACACACACACACACACACACACACACACACACACACACACACACACACACACACACACACACACACACACCCACACACACACACATGCTCTACTAGTGATTGATTCGATTCCCTGGGAGCCAGGTTTCAGGGTTTTGTCTCGGCATACAGTGTGTCGAAGTGCTGTAACAGTGATGTTTAAAGTCTTTTTCATTGTTTGATTAAACCAGAGGTAAGAGGCTCTCTCTGACTGTATTGGTCGATTGTGTAGGTTCCCACCAGTCAGCAGAAGGAAGGGGTCTATGACGTCCCAAAGCGACTCAGAGTGAGTGACCGTGTGTTTGCCCGTGTCCCACCACCCGTCTCAGCCTGCCTCCCCCTCTCAGACAAACCTCTCAGCTGTCCCACCACAAGTGTTAAGCTTTTTTCCCTTCGTTGCCCTCTCCTTCATAGAGCCTTGTGAAGCTCTAATTTTGCAGCGATTCTACTTCCTGTTAACCACACAGTGATCCAGTGTGTCTTTAAAGTTTCCCTGAGAGGTTTGCTGGGACCCAGTGCTCTTGTGCAGTGTGCTGTGCTCCTCCTCTGCTTGTGCTGTAGCCGTGATGGCTGGTGCCCTTCTCCTTGTGCTCCGTGGTGCCTGCTCCTTCTGGTTAACTGGGATACTGTGTGTGAATGTGTGTGTTGTGTCATTTTTGCTCGATGAAGCATGCCGGGCTGTGGCTTGCCAGTGGTGAATCAAGTGCAAACCTGCATGACCTTATTCCAGATTGCGCTGAACACACGTTTTGTCACTGTCATCCGTCCTCTTAATGGATATAAATTATGTGTCTGGTGTTAAATGTGCATGGCCTCATATTTTTTAATCTATATATTAGGATGTGCTTATGCATATAAGTAAGAGTGTTTGCAGTGTACATTTTTACCACTTTTGTGTATGGGTGTATACTGTACTCTAGTGTGTGTGTGTGTGTGTGTGTGTGTGCGTGTGTGTGTGTGTGTGTGTGTGTGTGTGTGTGTGTGTGTGTTCATGTTATTGCCTCACACTGCTGGTGGTTATAATGAAAGATGACCTTGACCACTGTCAGGATGCACTATAATTCAGCTACTCTTTTATCTGCCTATAAAGATGCTAGTTATATTGTTGCCTGATTTAATCCACTCAAATCTTCACACTCCCAATAACCAGGCCCCTGTGCTGTGTGTGTGGTTGTGTTGTTTGTATGTGCATTTGAATGCAAACACTTCATCCCATGTTGCTGGTCTGTAAATCAGTGTTCCCTCAGTCTATCCAGAGCCCACCGTCTCAGCGTGTATTCCCCTGCAGTGGTTTATTTTATCCTTAAACCGCTAAAACTGGACTCCCCCATGTCACTACTGGTAGTCACAATCCCACTCTTTGAATTTTGGTAGACATGGAATCAGTCTCGCCATTTCTGGCTGAATATTATCCCCAGCTTTGGTAAGAAGCTTACAGGCGCCATAGTATTTCTGTACTCCCCTCACCCTGCCCACATCACATGCTGTGATTTGGATTGCCTTTGTGTTGGCAGGTGTCTGAACGTGAGCAAATCCAATATTTTCCTCTTGTTGTGCAACCAATTGGACTTGTCGTCCATTCTGGTTTTAAATAAAGCAAGTTCAAGTCTTTTCTGCTTCCAAGACAGTCAGAGGGAGTAAAATAAGGATCATAGAGATAAACATGGATCATAGAAATGTAAGAATGTAGGTTTGTCTGACAGCTCGTATTGTAATTTAAAGATAATTACATTTAATATAAATCCAGACTCACAGAGGGCATAAAACCGCTGCTTCGTATGGGTTTATTCTTTCAAGCGTGTTGCACCACAGTCAGTGATGTTACAGATGGTCTTTTCTATGAGAAGTCAAAATGCTACATTCATATCATATTCTTAATTTATGAACCACACAAAGACATTTCTGAAAGCTTAAACGTTTCTTATTTAGTGGAAAGTACTGCCGAAATATTAAAACAAATATTGCTAAAATGGCTAGAAATCTACGTACAAATGTGTTATATAGCATACACAAGTTAGATATGTCTAAATAATTATAAAATGTATGATGCACAACTGTCTTTGGTTGTTGGCACCTTGAAATGATGCTTGGATGTTTTCTCATCTTTCCTTTTGAGCCAACATGGCGTGAACACGGAGCTAATACCTGTTGTGACATTGGTAGGAGAGGTTCATCGTTTTCTCAGCAGAGGGATTATCAGTGGACAGTGGTGTTAGATGAGATCATTGCTGTGTGTGTACACACTGCAGCGAGGATGAAATGATAGCACTGGCAGAAATGCGACCTCCTGTCTAAAGCAATCTCTTCTGTTGTTTACTTTGTCACCTTCTTAAACGATGACAAATCAATAAAACACGCGCACACAAACACACGCTAACACATACACACACACACACGACAAAGGGCCATTTCAATCTACTGAGCCTTTGACCCTGTAAGAACTAACAGTGTGTTGAATCAACAGAAGCCCCCAGAGTCCACATGAAGAGGGCAACATAATACCAGCCAAACACACTAACTGAAGTTATAAACTGAAATTAAACTGATGTATTACATGACTTATATATATATGAACCATTTACGGGGTGTTTTTATGTTAAATATGTGCCCTGATTGGCTGAGCCTCCTAGTTTAAATTAAAGTTTCATTTAAATAGCCCCCTAAGTTTGAAGGGTTATGGGTTTTGCAGAGTGACAGATTGGCCGAGGAAATTACCCAAAGAAAGAGAATCGTCTCCATAGCTAGGTTGTGTTGTTGAGTTGTGAGTCTGTGTGTTTGTATGTGACTGTTCAGTAGGTTTTTCGACCGTTTGCCAGTGTGATCAGTCAGCCGGTAGGGGATCAGCAAGGTGGCGTTAATTAAAGGGGCTGCGATAATTGTATGCAGAACACATGTGCACAGGTAATTACTGTTTCCCTGGAGATGGGTAATTGATAGGTGGCGGCTGTACTGATAAAGATAAAGGGCTGGGCAAAGAGATGGCGGGAGTGTATAATGGGCACAGAGGGATAATTGGCAGGGCAAGAGAGAGAGAGGGATGGATGCAGAAAGATTGAAAAAAGAAAGCTAGAGGAATGGGCAGCAGTACACTGTCAAGGCTAAAAGTAAATAGTATGGGTTTCAAACAAACTTCAGATTCATGTAAACGTTAAGGTTAGGTACATTCGTCAGTTGGATTTGAGTGAACCATTCAAGTCCTGTCAGAATAAAACATCCTGTTGAAAAATGGACAATATTTGCAGAACTGATTAGTGTTTAGCAAGCTGTTATTGTTCTCCAGCATCAGCTAATGATGACCATACTTCATGCTTTCATCCAAAGAAAAGGACACACTCAGCAATATTATAGTGCACCAACTACTCTTGCTTTGCCAGACCAATCTGCACATCATGTGTCCGTGCCAGTGCTGGCGGAGGCTCTGGCAGAACCCATCATCATTCTGCTGTAGCTGAATAAATATTGGAGGTTGTTTGTACAGTCCGATTTCTCAGCGGCGGTGCAAAATATATGCAAATACGGCAGTATGTTTTTTTAAGCATAGCTCAGAAGCATGAAGGCTAATGCTATACCATCTGTTGGCTGCACAGACCTCCTTGTTGCTTTGTATCATTGGGATTTGTTGCTGATAATAAAAAGATAAAACAATGACCTTGTCCTTGAATTTTTAGATTGTAATTCACCTTAATGGACATCGGGCTAGTGATGCCACTGAGAAAGCAAGTGGAAATGAAAATATCTTTCCCAGATATTATTATTACATACTCCTTCCTTTTGCTTTCACATATAACATTTGAGTTAATCCAGCTCCTCTTAGCCTGCCTTCAGTCTGTTTCACACTGAGGTTCCAGACACAGGGGAGCAGGCTTTACAGAAACTCAAAGGGGGTTTATACCCCAGCTCAGTGCTGTAGTATAGACTAAAGGTGGGGATGATCTTTAAACCTTTTTTACTCTTGACTTAGGCTCTAAGTTTGGCAAGAAATATATTGCTCTGTGCCTGAATGTGTGTACATGGGTTTGTTGTGTGACTGTATTGCCATTCTATTTCCCTCATCTCACCTCTCACTCATGTCTTGCCACATCTGATTGTATGCAAGAAAACTAATATTCACATTTACATCTCACCAGCCATCTAACACTGGGGTTTTGATTGCAGAATGGACATCAAAATACCCCCCACAACCACAATCATCATCAACATCATCATTTTCATGACCAGCCCCTCCAACAAGAACAAACTCAACAGCAGCAGCCGCAGCAGGCAGTGGCAGATCTGATAGACTTAGACCTGGCACTGGTGACTCAGGTAAGGCACTATTCCAACATATCGTAACAGAAGCACAGTGCTCTTGTTTGCTCTTGTGGGTCAGGCAAAGCTAGAAGGTTTTATCGTATTTGTGAGCAGGGAACCTATCCTTCAGATGATTTCCTGTCTCACAAAACAAGCCACTTTTGTTCCTCTCTGGACACAAGTCACCTCAACTGTTGACCCCTGTCATGTATTGAAACAAAACATGCAGCCTTGCTGTTGCAAAGCAACTATGTTGAGGGAGAAAGTTACATCTGTGAGAGAACAGAAACACTCCAGCAGCTTTAAGCAGAGGTTGTTTGAGGGCAGGTGGACGTAAAGGTCAGAGCGTCTGTCAGGGAGCGAGCGGGGGTCAGCGGACAGCAGCAGGCATCTCGCCTGCAGACACACCTGCAGAGTCAAGCTGCTCACAGTGCATTCATAAAGCATTCATAACCACAGCAGTCTGACCCCACCACCACATTTAAAGAGTACAGGGTCAAAATACTATACTCTGGTAAAAGTAGCAGTACTTACTTTACTCAAGTAAAAGTAAAGAAGTATGGGCTTCGAAATGTACTTAAGTAAAAAGAACCCATAACTACCAGCTGTTTTAAAGAGTAACCTCACTTCATATTAATAGAACAATAATGTCATTGTTAGCTAATGAATGTTTCGATGCTGAACAACGGCACGCAATGACTCTAAATAATAATGATCACGCCACCAAACACAGAATAAAACTAAAGTAACGAACATGTCTTGAACATGTATGAAGTAGAAAGTACAGGTATTTGTGTAAAAGTAAAAAGTTGTCAGAAAAATAAGTAGTGGAGTAAAGTACTGATACCAGAAACATGTACTTAAGTACGGTAACAAAGTATTTGTACTCCACTTCTTCCCACCTCTGTCTCTAACGTCCCACTTGCTCTACTGTTGGAACACCCCCTAAATTAGCATCCCAGGTTTCTGTTTAAAGAACATTAGCAAAGACACTGTGCTATTGACTCAGAGTACAGAGCAAAACAACAACTAAAGGAGTGTTTTATGTTAAGGAGGGTGTTTCTTAAAATGTGTTTTGCAGTTGAATCCTAGTGACATTAGGTTATCAGTTCATTTTGCATATCTTAGCTCGTCTTGTTGAATTGATTTTTATCTGCTGCATTAGACTCTGCAGCAACAATAGTACATATTACAGCCTCCTATCTTCCTCCACTCTTAGTAAAAATACCCATTTAGACCCATGACTGTAAAACACCATGCTCGCAGATCCATTTTCTGATAGATGTAAAAAATAACTTTGTGACCTACGAAAGTGAACGAGAGGCAAGATATTCTAAGAACATTCATTATCTCAAAAGAAATTATCCGCATCCATGATTTATGCAAATCTCTGACCATGTATTCAAGGCTTAAATTCCTTTACGGGTAAAAATAGAGTTTGCTTCACTTGCCACCGGCCTAAAGATATTATTAACGTGCAAAAGGGGGGAGATACTAAAGAGAGGGATCATTGGGAGACTATGAAAGGAAACAGAATGTTACAGAACAAATTGCGATCAAATAGAAAGACTGCTGACTTTTTGATAGCTATTCCCTCTGAGGCACACCACACATCCTCTACAACAGTGGGACCATAATGACTTGTCCTGGAGAAGGCAGTGGTACAGTAATGATGCAGGGGGCTGCTTTTAGACGAGCTGATGGAAAGCATCTTCATGTGGGGCAGATGAGAAAGAATGTGTTTTGTTCCTCTTGGGATTGTGATAACTCTCGGTAGGTATGTCATCATAATCAATCATTTCATCTCATTATCCCATCCCTCCTCACCCTCTGTTACCTCGTCTGTGTTGCTGCCACAGTGCTCAGGTAGGTACCACAAGTATACCAAGCTAAGTGTCGTGCTGCATGCAATAGGTGTCGCATGTTGCACTGGAATGTAAACTGACCCAGATAATATATATATATAGTGAAAGCTGTGTTTTTGTATCTGACTGGGAGTACACTTTCTCTTGTTCTCAGAATATCAACCAATTAGAGATTTTTGGAGACATGTCCACGCCTCCTGACATCACTTCTCCATCGGTGAGTAACTGTCGTGCACACGGTCTGTGATTCACATCTCACATAATCCATGTTTCCAATGATGTGTTTTTGCTCAACCCTACAATAAATCACATCCTGCACAGACCCCCGCCTCTCCAGCCAACATCCTGGACCCGTTGCAGGGTCTGCAGGGTCTGCAGCATCCCGCGGAACTGTTTTCTCCCTTCAATCCGTCTGTGCCCTCAGGTAGGACCTTGTTCATTTTCTGCTTACATACACCACTGCTACAAGCGGAGGGGAAAACAAACGCAGCGGGAGAGAGGGCGTCGGGAAAGGAGATGAAGGGGAGCTCGAGAGTCAGAGGAGAGAGAAGGGGGGGGTGCTGAAATAAATAGAGGGGGACAGAATAGAATTGAAATGTAGATGAGGGGAGTGGAAAGAGGAGAAAGGTGGTTTTGGTTGTGTGTTGAATATGAAATGCATCATTACCTTGCTGCCTCAGATGCTGCTAATGTACCTGTGGCTGAAGAACGGTGGTCAGAGGAAAGTAATAAAGCATGCTGAGATGATTGTAGGGAAGAGTCCTCGGCACGCACAGGCTCTGTGAATTAGACGTGTGTGTATGCCTCACAATTGTCCTTCTTTACTCCCTTTCAGTCTCCCTTCCTCCTCTCTCTGTCTATGTGTTACCAGATAACATGTGAGCTCTTCCTGCTGTAGGTAGCAGCCAGAAACCGGAGACTAGAGAGTGAGCTTCTGCTGATGAGTTTGAATGATTTTAATGAGTGTGTGGGGCTCTTCCTTTTCATAATGACTCTCTCTCATTCTGGAGGTAATTATGATAGTCCACCATGACCATCAAGAGACACCACATTAGCTGCAGGCAGAAGTAGGGCAGCACTCTCTGGTGATGCATGGGTTATCCTCTGTGTGTGTTTGAGTGTAGAAGAAAAGCAGTGGTGAGCATGTACACTCTATATTTAGATCACTTCATTTTACCTCATAAAGATACAGAAAAGATCTACATTTTCTTTTTGTTCTCCTCCCCTCCAGGTTATGTGACAATGGGAGCGGTTCCCCCTGGCCACTGGTCCCAGCAGGCGTTTGCTGCCCAGACGCCGCTGGCCTTCGGGGTCCAGTCTCCTCTGGGTGCCGTCGCCCAGGTGCTGCCAGGCGGCCAGCCTCTCATCTGGGGCCAGGCCAACCTCTTCCCTGCCACCCAGCAGCAGTGGGCAGCCATGGCAGCTGGAGCCTTCTCCCCCACAGCCTACCTCCCTGCCCAATCTATGGGCACTCTGCCTGCCGCCATGTTCCAGACTCTCACCCCCGTCACGTCTTTGACTCCCGCCGGCGAGAGCCATTTAGGGGCTGGAGCCGGCGCCTCAGCTTCGTCGAGTCCGCAGCACGGGGACAGGGCGAGGATGATGGGAAAGGAGATGTTCAAGGTGGGTAGAAGTCTGATGATATTAGAAATAGAACAATTAGAACTCTATTTTGTAGCGTATTTTTTTTAGAAAGGGTAGTCATAAGAAGAAGACTTACTTTATTATTTAATTAATTTAATAAAATTAAAAAATTGATATTCATGATACAGAAGAAGAGAAAAAAAGGCCAGCCGGAGAAACCAGGAATAGTATTTAGTGTTTTTTCTGTGGTGTTTTGGTGAATCATAGGCTTTTATTGGTTGGTACGCACTAGAAAGATGAGGGAGTGAGGAAAGAGATCGGAAAAAATATGCTGAGATCCCCGACATTCTTATGGGACGTTGTGGACATGGTAGGCGCTGTAACTTGGCCTTGTTAGTGTTTTGCGGGGGCTGGGCACAAATCTAATTGATTTATTATGAGCCTCTGTGGAGTTCTTTCAGTCAAAGCTTCAGGATGACAGAAACAACGTTAAAAAAAACATAATAAATAAAAGCACATAAATAATAGATATTGATTGCCCATACAGTGAGTCAAAAATGTTGAAGTCACATTGCCCAGTACTAATGGTTGTGTTCCTGACCAATATTTGCCTCCCTCCACAGGACTTTCAGCTGGCGAAGCCCCCTGCCATGCCCTTGAAGAAGGGGGAACAGCCCAACTTAGCAGCAACCTCAGATGCATTCAGCTCTTACTTCAGCCGTGTGGGCCAAGCCCAGGACACGGATGACTGTGACGATTTTGACATTTCTCAAATGAATCTGACACCAGTCACCTCCACAACACCATCCACCAACTCACGTAAGAACTCTGTCGGTCAGTCTGTTCTCTTAGTAACGCACTTTCTCTGTAGCTACGTCTGACTCAGCTTCTCCTCCTCTGCAGCACCCACCCCAGCTCCCAGGCAGAGCTCACCCTCGAAATCCTCCGCCTCGCATGTCAGTGACCCCCCCACTGACGCCACAGACCCTCCCACAGACGACTCATTTGGGGAAGTAGAGGGCAGTCCAAGTCGCAGTGGAGAGGAAGATGCTGTAAGTGTGTGTAGTTGTGTTTATGTGTGTGTGAGGATAGTAGAAGTGGAGTAAGTCGTGTGTGTGTGTGTGTGTGTCTTTAATAACTCACTCCTTATGCTGTTATAACCTGCGCGGTGTGTGGAGATCTGCTGATAAATAGCCTCTGTAGCAATGTTGGCGGGCCAGGTAATCACTCTGGCTGATTAGGGGGCCAATGCTGTTGTGTCCTTTAGTGTGAGCGTGTGTGTCGGTGTGTTTGTGAACGTGCACATGAAGTGTGTGTTTCTGTGTGAACATGAGCAGTAGCGTTCCTGCATAAGTGTGTGCGTGCGTGCGTGTGTGCATGGTCAACACAGCGTTAAATTAGCTGGAGGAATTGTCAGAGACATCATTAAGCTGTTATTAATATCAGCCAGGTAGCGTCCATACATCACTACTTCTACGATAATGCTCCAATTCTTCTTCTTCTAGGGGCAATTAATATTTATTTTACCAGCAGCACCTCGATTTAAGTGAGAAAGTGAAAGAAATTAAGAAGAGCTGAGAAGATAAATAGGTTTTTAGCGAGGGGGGAAAAACTCCCTTTGCCTTTGACCAAAGCCCTTGTAGATTAAGTGACCTTCCAAGAAACAAGACTTTTGTAGTGATTCCCCTGCCATTTTTCTTCCTGTCTCCCTCTCTCTTTGTGTGTTTCTTTAATGCTTGCTTCTTTCTTTCTTTTCGTCTCCACTCCCCAGACATGGATCATTAGTTTTACGCCTTCAATCCAGCAATTCTTTTGAAAAAAATAGACCTTCACACTGCTGAAAATGTCACCAGGCCCCAAATAACACACAAAAGCGTTACAGTATCCAGAGAAATGTGCATTGGTGGCGGCACACAGTGAGTGAGTGAGTTTCGTGCAAAGGTTACAAAATACGACAGGAAGATGGAGCGAAGGCGAGGTGGGAAAAAAACTAAAGTGTATTTGGAAAAAAGCAGCGCATCGACAGAACTAAGGTTTTTAATAAAAGAGAACAGTAAATTAGTGCTCGGGTGTGATTGTGTTAGTATGATTGTGTTTCTGAAAGAGACAGTGTGGGCTGGGGCTTCTCTCTGTCCTTATTCCTTCTTTAGAGTATTGACACCTTTTTCTCTTTTGCTTCCTGTTTACTACTCTACTCTGGGAGTTTTTGCCAAACTGCGACCCTTCTTTCAGATGTATTCTTCTATGTCTACTTTCTAATCCCCTTTATTTCCTTCTCCTCTTCTCCTCCATCTACCCTTTCTTCCCATCGGTTCTCTCCCTTCCTCCCCCTCTCTAGGCATGTGGCTCTGGGTCGCCCTGCCCCAGTGAGACAGCAGAGCCGAGCCCAGACCAGGCCAGTCCAGAGGCTGGGAGCTAGATAGCAGCAGGGCAGGGTAGGTATCAGTCCCTCTCCTGCCCCCCAACTCCTCCTCTTCATCTCCATGCCATTATCTGTTCTTCTGGCTGACCATTGTACCTCCCACTGACATTATTCAGGCTGATCTCTCCGTGTGCTGCACCTTTTTCTAATTTTCTCCTTCTGTTGTGTCTTTGGTTTCAATTTCACACTGTTTCCCTCGTGTAGGCATGCTCGAAGGAACGCATGTGTTCTGGTTATTTGTTGTGTGATTGTGCATGTATGAGTACATTTGCTTGTGTTTCATTTGGTGTGTCGGTAATTTTCGCTGTGACCTCACCTGTAATGTTGTATGTATATATCTATAATGGTGTGATAACATGATTTTTTTTTATTATTGTGTGAAGATCTCATCCCGTATCATCACTTTGGCCATAGTGCACTGTGCCCTCATTGTGTCTATGTGACGTGTCCCTAAATCAAGCCCAGTTCCCTAAATAGCGCACGTCTCACTTGCAAAAGGCAATAGTGTGTGACAGCCAATCAGAAACGGTACACTTCAGTGCACAGGACGTCATCTGGGATTTGCCAATGTTGTGTGCAATATGCTGATCTCGGATGTTTAGGTTAATTAAAAAAATTATTTGTGCTGTTATTTTTATGCATTATGTATGTTACATGATGTAATGTTACTAATAGTATGTGCATTACTGCAAGAGGATCAAACTGAGAAAGACCAGCAGCTACTATTTAAACTCAAGAAAATTATGATGTGTGTGTGTTTGCTCACTTTTTGCACATCAATGCAACTCCCAGAAAACCTACCTAGGCTGAAGATTTCTTATAACTATATGTCAACATGCTGTTTGCCTACACAAGGAAACAGACAAACACACACACACAACCACAAACACCAAAGAAGAGAGACATTCTGATCCCTGCCCCCCCACCCGGTTCCCTCGCCCACACAACTCCAGAGTGTGGCCCCTTAATGATAACTCCTGGCACTCACACGGTGAAAATGTAATGGTTTTGTTTTCATCAGCTAATACTAGGGTGCCAAGATTAATGGCTGCCCGGGTATAATTGGCATTAATTAAAACCCAAGAACCCCCCCCCCCCCCGTTGGCCATCGTCCTCTCCTTCAGACGCTCTGAAAGGGGCAGCAGGTGGATGTGAGCCCTAAGTGGGAGGACGGATTGTGGAGAACTGACTGGTGGACTGCTTTGGTCCTGGTCTAATGAAGCTGCTCCCATATGGTGTTTACTTGCTCAATCTCATCGACTTTAGACAACTCCCCAAACACCCCCTCACACACACACCTGAGCAATCGGCCACTTATTCCCCAGACAAGCACACCTGTGATCGATACTGTCACCACCTGTGCTCATATCAAAGCCAAACATATGTGTGTGTTTGCTGCTGGGCATAGCCATCTGTCTTGTCCTCCCACTGTGTGTGGTTGGACAGACATGTGTTCAGGCTATTGGGAGTGTAAGTGTTTTTTTTCTGGGTTGATCTCAACATGTCCAGCGAACGCTCCCGAGTCCCAGCCGTGAAATGGCCTGCTTCCACGGTTCACTGAACAATCTCACATAGCTGCCCCTGCCCAGGGCCTTCCACTCACACACGCACATAAATGTCCACACGTGTACCAGCCAGGCCAGATATATTGGCCTTCAGGCTAGTGCCACACCGGCAACATCGCTCATACCTCCACCCATTCCCCCTCCCTCTCCCAGCCTGAGGTTTATGAGGCTGAAGCGGCCGTGCTTGGCGGCGCTGGTCACATAATGCAGGATCATGCCGGGCTGTGGCTCTGCTGAGGGCTGAGCGATGTGTGCTGGCTGTCACTGCTCGTCTCAGCCTCTCTGTCACCTCTCTTCGGGCCGCTGGCAGAGACTTTCTGCTGACTGTCTGCCTTTGGCCGGAGTTACAGCTCTGTATCCCAGAGCCCCAACACTCAGCTAAAGCATTCCTCCCAACTTTAACCCCACTTTTCTGTTCAGATGAAAGCCCATTTGGATTACGCAACAGGTTTTTCGGTGAGATTTTTTAGCATGAATAAGATTTTTGTAAGTCTTTTCTCTCCCAAATGAGACTGAAGCTCATGAGTAAGCTGCAACATCAAATCAAAACAATCAAATCCTTGAGTAGTGCACATTTGAACCTATACTTATTTTTATAGTTTGTGTTTAATTGTAATTTTTATAGGATTTTTTTTTCATTATCATTCATTATTAAATTACTTGATGTTTGATAAATAGCGAGGGTTTGTTCTCAAGTCAAACATCCACACGTAGATGTGTCTTTGCTTTAGTTTGTAACATTATCTTGCCTTTTCATCTAGTATAACTGAACTGAAGGGCAGCAATCATTTGCAGCAGAAGCAATTTTATCTGATGAGAATTGGAAAAATGTATTTCTGCCCTTAAGAGACATTTCTGTCCCTTTTCTCAGTTTTCATTCAATTCTATGAACATTGGCTTCCATATCCTTGTGTGGCAGCTACTGGTAGCCCCCAAACTGCACAGTGAGAGAAGTCTTCAAAAACACAATAGGCCATCCAGCAGTCTCCAATCAAGCTGTCTGCATGGCATATTGAGTGGCTGGCTGTAATTATGTGTACGATAATAACGGGCCCATTGTGAGTGACTACAGCAGGGTGGAGCTCTGACTGCAGGGTGTTCCATCAACCTGTTGTCTTCAGGCTCAGATATGGAGAAATACTGACACGATGACTCATAACTGGTCTTTCAAGGCGCTAGTTTATACCTCTGATTCATACTGGTAAATAAGAGAATTGGGAAAGAATAAGCATGTGCGCGCCCAATGACACACTCGGGAAGAAAACTCAGACACACACACAGAGGCATGAAAAGGTTTTGAGAGCGAGAGGTGAATTTTATAGTGAGAGCTCTGAATGGCCAGAGAAGAGAAATGATTGGATGTCTCCCCCACAGAAGCGTGTTACTGCCACCTGGTGGCCATGTTAGGTACAGGAAGTAACAAGCCTCTGCAGGTCTGGATGTACTTGTCGGGCTTGTAGGTGATACCCGTAGGTTTAGTTGATGCAGAGAATTAATCATCTGAAACTCGGGTCCTCCCTTTTAATTATGTAACATTCAGACCTGCTGAGGCAAATCCTTACGAGTCCAACTAGATTTGAATTGTGAAAGTAAAAGCGGTTTGAAATCCTGATGTTTTTCCTCTCTCCTGCACAGAAGGGGAAGGACCCTCTCTACGCCCAGATCAACAAAGGGAAGAAATAAAGAGACACGCAGGAAGACGGACCTGAGCAGCACTGAGAGAACAGGGGGAGAACCCTCACTGTGTGTGTGTGTGTGTGTGTGTGTGTGTGTGTGTGTGTGTGTGTGTGTGTGTGTGTGTGTGTGTGTGTGTGTGTGTGTGTGTGTGTGTGTGTGTGTGTGTGTGTGTGTGTGTGTGTGTTGTGTGTGTGTGTGTGGTGTGTGTGTGTGCTGTGTGTGTGTGTGTGTGTGTGTGGTGTGTGTGTGTGTGTGTGTGTGTGTGTGTGTGTGTGTGTGGTGTGTGTGTGTGTGTGGTGTGTGTGTGTGTGTGTGTGTGTGTGTGTGTGTGTGACTGGCATATCTCCCAGCCTGGCCAAGCCCTTCTTCTTCTTCTCTTCCTCGGCTAACAGCCTCCCAGTATGGAGCCTCCACGCTCCCGCTGTGCTCCTCCTCCTCCTCCTCCTGAGAGGAGTGAGCCCTCTTGGTCATTCACTCCAGGCAGGAGGGATATCAATCACCGAGACGGATCCAGTTCTCCCTCCACTGCACTGTCTTCTCCTCTCCTCTCCCCTCCCTGTGGCGACTCACACACAGCCTTACAGACATAACCTGCTCCTCCCCTAGCTCCCTTCTTCCTTCCTTCCCTCCCTCCTCTTCTCTGTGTTTGCTCATACACTCCTCCCTCTGCCTCCTGTGTCTGGCCAGAGACTGTGCTGTCAAGGAGAGACTGAATCAAGCAGTGCCTCGCTGTCTCACACACACACACGCTCGCTCATCAGGATTAGAATGATCATCTTTCATTTAATGGACAGAATGTGCACCTGAAGCGAGTGGATCCTGCAGGAGGAGCTGGACTCTAATGAGCCTATCACAGAGGCCTGTTACTAGGATCACTGCTTCTGATTGGATCGTTGGTTTGGGCAATGTCTCCCAATTCTTGTGAGTGTCTGCTGGATCACTATGCAGAAACAGACTCTCTGGGAGCTACTCACACCCAAATACACACACAACAATCAGCTTACATATACTCCTATCACACACACACACACACACACACACACACACACACACACACACACACACACACACACACATGCAGTCATCTCTCACCCTCTCTAACATACACAGTCATTTGCCAAACGTCTGTCCTCACAGACAGACTCACACTGAGGCCAGAGGACCGGACAAACTGAGGAATGGACGCTGAGAAGGAAGTGTTGCAACAGATTCTGTGATCGAACTGTTCATTCTCTATAGCTTTTGTACAATACTGATTAAAAAAAAAGAAGAAATTAAAAAATTGAATTTTTATTTTATAAGTCAATCAAGCCGCTGGGGTCAGCTCTATAGGAGTTATACATGGCTTTAAGGCATCGGATCGTTGGTTTGCCAAACTCATTTTGTAAATAACGATAACAACAACCATTTTGTCCAATGGACTTCTGTGCCATAAAATAGGAAGGCTTCAGTTATGCAAACTCTCGACGTTAACCCAAGCAATACCAACATATGTTTTCTTTTCCTGTTTTCCCACTATGTTTTGTAATCCTCTAATGTTGTTTTGATTTTGTGCATGGATGTTGTTGGTCTTTGTCTTAACCTCACTTACTAATCCTGTTTCCAGCTGCAAACCCTGCTCATTTCTGTCTTTTCGAGTCCCACCACCTCACATTGATAGCCGATCAGCTTCTGCAGTTTATGTCACCAATGGCCTATGTATGTGTTTCTGTACCTCACACTCTCTATGTTGCAGAGGACATAGTGTCACTCACTGTAACGTGGTCTGCTCCTCCATCCCATTCCCCCTCTATAGTCTTTGAGATACGGTGATGCTCCGCCCATCTGTCTGTCTGCTGGTCAGGTGCCAAACTGCTGCTGTCCCAGCGTCTGTGTGTGGACGGCAGCTTCCTCTGCTACAACTACATCAACTTTGATGCCAATGACTCCCTATTTTATGGCCAGAGTCCCCATGTCACTGAGAACTCTTTTGGACTATGATGTTGATTAACTTTCAAATTTGACAACTAGAAGATGAGCAGAGAAGTTGAATAAAAAGGGAAACGTTGCTGTTTGAGTACATAACATTTCTAGACCTATTTTAACTTTACCTCAGCTAACAGTTTCTTAATGTAAATTGACACATTATTTTTATCTTTATGAATATGACATTCTACAGTGGGTTTTTAGATGATTTTTTGGTTCTCTCTTGATTTATGTATTCCACCATGTATTACTGTTACAAATAAACACATCCCAAATGACTGATATGTCTATGTATGTGTCTCTGTTGTAATGTGTGGTTGTGTGTGCGTTTGAAAGAGAAAGTGAGCCTAATGGTGTGTGCCTGGCAGAGGTGACCCCAGTGAGTCTTTAGCTATAGTGTAAAGCAAGTTCCACAGTATTTTGCTGTAATTTAACACGGCTTTAATGGCCTGTCACATTCTGCTACACTGGCAGCCTCTAATGCAAGCTGTCATAAGCTTTATTAGCAAGCCACTACAGAACAAAGACCTCTTCCTCTTATTTTGCCTCTACCCTCCTCCCTGTGGAAAGGGGGAAAACACATCAAGACAACTTTAACACACTCGTTGATTCAATAATTGTATTCAGGAGAAATTCAAACTAGAAGACACTAAAGACACTTATCTGATATTTTTCTACACAAAAATTAGAATGACAACAATGTCTTCCAAATACCTTGTCCCAGTTAATGGATAATCCACATATCTCACTGTCGGCTGTTTTCTTTGTAAACATTTATTCTATGAAAGCTGTCAACACATGAGTTTCCGTTCACGCCATTGTCTTATTGTGTTGGCAACATTTTGTATTGGATTAAAACATTAGCAGATTGCTACAATTGGAAACATCTGCATAACTGGATACAACCAAGGGTAAGTGGAAATGTGTATTGGTTATTGGGTGATCTGCCCCTTTTAAGGTTCGTCTAATCTGCAGTATCTATAGTTTTTAAGATTGTTTCTACACAGACAGTAATACAACGACAACAATGTTTTTACATGAGGTCTAAGCTCTTGGGCTGCTGAGTCCCTGCACACCTGTCAGTGAAAGCTCAGGTTGGCAGTAATATCCTTTAAACTGTGTTATGAAAGCTCTGAGGCCGTTTTTATGTCATATTACAAATGCCTACCTAAATACTATGTAATAATAAACCTGGAATGTTGACAAGCCTCTTTTGCTTCCTTTTTTCTTTATGTTTAAGATTAAACTTCAGCTGCAGACAACATGCATCTAATGCTAGATCACCGATGGACAACATCTTCCCACAGGAGCAAACACACCTATATTGTTAGGATTCAGGACTGTGGCAAAATCACAGTGGATATTTAACAGTTTTAAGAAAACAACTCCAGGTGCGAGGTTTCATGACAGTGACTCACATTTGCGCGTAACACCGTGCCAGCCATGCAACATTCCTGAAGGATAAAAAACAACAATCCTAGCTATTGAGAGTCACTGCGCTGCTCTAAATGCTCAACCGGGGCTAAGACCCGTTTGACGAGACGGGCTGTTTTGTGAAGATGAGTGTCAGTATTCCTACTCAACCTCATTCCTGCCCCGAAACCATCTCCTGTGCGCAAGGGACGCACACCAGTCTCGATCAGCACGGAGCAGAGACGCACTGAGTTGGCACAGGATTTATAAAGCGTTAAAACGGTTAACTGTGTGATTTCTTTGCGCATATAATGAGAAGCTGATGAAGGAACTCACTGGAGTTAACTTACTCGACTAAGAAAGAATTGTGACGTTTCGGTGGACATTTAGAAACAATGGATCAGGTATGTGGCCCTTTAATATCAAACATTACGCAAAGTGTGTTTAACTTTGCTTTATGTTATCATAATGATACTATTTGCAATACTATTATAACTTATATTGTGTAAATATGTGTAATCTTTCTTCCTGTCATAATGACATATATAAGCTTTGACTGAGTTAGTGTTAGTACAGCAGACTAATTGTCTGGCAGCTATTTATTATATAAATACGGGCCTCCTATGTGTTTGTTGAAACCCCCATACAGGCAGATCACTATCAGGTCGGAAATACTTGTAGATATGCTAATGAGTAAAACAAAAGAAGCAATCATTGTTATGTGAAGGGTAAAACATGGCCATGATTTCAATCTTCATCTTAGCTAAGCACCACACTATCTTTCATAACAAGTGACATATTTTTTGTGATAACAAGTAAACATATACTTTCTGTATTTGCCTGAGCGTAGTATTGTACATCAGCTTTACATTGTTTGGTCCTTTCCCCAGGAGGACACGCTGGACTTTAAGGGCCTGATGGCCATGTTTCAGGAGGAAGAACTTATTCTGAAGCAACTGAAGAGCAGACCTGCCCTCCCAGACAAACCTAAAAGTGTCCCCCCTCCCACGAGTCCCTCTCACTTCCTCCCTGCAGGAGCACGCCCCTCCCTTCTGACCTCCATCAACCAGACCCTCGATGGGAAAACAGTTAATGCCCCCAAAGTGGTCTTCAAAGAGGATAAGAAGCAGAGCAAAACGCCTCTCATCTCTAAGGGCAAAGACAAGACTGAAGTGAAGCTGAAAAAAGCGAAAGACAAGACAATGAAAGGAAGCAAAGAGAAGCTTGAAGAGATTTCAGAGGATCTGAAACCGAAGAAAGTGAAGAAGCTCCCGCAGCTCCCTGGAGCATCTAAGGGGAAAACGGCTGAGCTGGTGCCAGCCGCACCCCCACCTACAGGCACAGTGTCAAAGAAGAGGGGCATCCTGGATTTCATGAAGTCAACAAAAAGAAATTCAGCGGAGGTCCCTGAAGATCAGATCTTAGACTCTCCCACCTTAGGCATTACTGGACCAGCGCCACTTATCCCAGTACATGTTGACTATGGTGTTGTAGCACCTGATATTTCTGCCCCAAGGGCCCTTCTACCAAACATCCCCATCTTACCGGACTCAGCTGCTGTAATGGAAATAACCCCGCCCTCCACTATCCCTGCCTCTCCCGAATTGACCCCCCCTCCTACCTTTGTTCCTGATATCCCAGATCTCCAAGTGCCAACCTTGGAGATTGAAACTCCTCTTGAGATGGAGACTCCTGCAGTGCACATTTCCAGGACTGCTAGTCAGAATGAAGTCATTCCCAATCCACCCAGCGATTCCCCAACCCCCCCACCCAGTCTTGCCATCTCTATTCCTTCTCCAGTGGCCCCCACTCCTCCTCCATCCCTTCCTGAGCCTGAGATTGCTGCTGAGGCTTGTGTAGAGGCTGTAAATATATCTGCAGTGGAGACGCCGCCTCCTCCTCCTCCTGGAACAGACCCTCCATCCATTCCGTCGTCTCCCAAAGCTGAGCGACCCATCTCGGCCCTCTCTGCCCTCTCCAGGGCGGAGGATATGAGCCCAGCGAGAAAGATGTCTCCGGTTGACCAGAGGATCTTCAATGCGCTGGAGAAGGCACGCAAGAAGATTGGGTAAACAAAACAACTTTCTCTGTGCCGAAACATAATTAAAACAACTTTTGAAACATTGTTCAAGTGATGGAGGGTATGACCAACTGTTCAGCTGATTCATGCTATTTAGTGGTTTTCTAATGTGTACATCTGATTCTAGCCAACCGACGAACCCCACCACATCCTACTCCATCACCACACCTTCTGAAGAGCGTCCACCAAGTCCCACCATTTCCCTCCCAGATATACCACCCATTGATTATGAGGGAAAGCTCAACAGCTTGGACCACAGTAAGTCTACACAATTTACTGTAGAGTTGTTTTCCTCTTTGTATTATTTTCTTATGGAGTGTTTCTTTGAGTTTTAAACTGTAAATGAATGACACAGAAGCATATCTAATCATCAGGGAGTACTGTCAACTACATGACATCTTTACTTAGTGTAGTGTCTCAGCTATACAGAAAAGCTGGTATGTATAGTATGATTTATGCTTTAGGATACCTTTGGAGAAGTAACTTTCAAAATTCAAACACACACACACACACACACACACACACACACACACAGAAAGAACATTCCTCCATTGCGTCAGTGACAACTGAGCAGCAGGCAGGGCAGAGCACACAGGTATGTCAGCTATGAAGGTGAGGAGGAGCGATGTCAGGAGTCCATCATTGTGACAGAGTTGAACTGGCAGTGCATAATGAGGAGTCTGCTGCTGTGTTCACAGTGGCTTCATTAACACAGAGCGTATTCATTGTGCATGTCGCTGCATGTATCAATTAAAAAAATCTCATGCTGTTAACTATTTCCCTATCTGTTGTCACTTATAGTAAAGTAATACACTTGTATATCTATGCTAACTCTCAGTGGAAAAAGCTTTTTGAGTCTAAATGATTGCCTTTTTATTATCAAAACACCTATTTGTAATACAAAGTGATAACATTTTAAGGAAAATGTTGCATTATAATGAGAAGAAATGGTTAAATTAAATACAATTGCACCTTTCTAGGACTAGTGCCATACTAAGTTCTTTGGATTTAAAGAAATGTGTTTAAAATAAATTATGTTTCTTAAAAGGTAAAGTTACACAGAGATTTTTAAGGTCTGCTATGTGTTTTTTCATTAGCTCTGCTCTGGCCTAGTTCAATGACTTCTGTGAAGTGTTTAACTGGTTTTTTCTCCTAACAACAACATAAGTTACTCCACTTTCTCTTGCCTTTCAGCTGAAATATTTCACCCTTTCAATTCATTGTTTTTAAATGCTGATCCTGAAATGCAGATACCATTTTAATACAATACTTTGGGAAACCCAGAAATTTCTGACAAATGAGTCATACATGGTACATTAATAATCGTGATCATGTATTAACATGGGGTCATGTTCTTTGCAGGGCAAGCCTCTCCAGCATTGGAAGGTATCACTGAGGAGGGGTCGGACCCTGTCCCAGAGCTATTGGTGGTTCCCCCTCCTCCCCCCAAACGGCTCCTCCCAGACCCCGAGTCTCTGGGAGTTGCTCCAGAGAAACCCCACAGACCTCCCTCTGTCAACCTGAGGGAATTCATCCCTCCTCCTCCTCTGGAAGGTAATGGTCAGCATTGTTACCCTTACATTGTGAAATCAAACTCATACACCACGCCTAACAAGTTGATTATATCATCTTATCTACAGAGATCCCTGCTCCTCCTGAATTCTCCGAGGCTGACCCCACAGACATCCCAGAGTTTGATGATGTGACCTCAGATGCTTATCCTCCAGAGCTGCAGGTGCCAGAGTGGGGGGATGGGGATTACACCGGTCCAGAGACTCCAGATCAACAGAACTTGCCGGAGTTTTACAGTAACGGGGCGACTCCACCTGAAGCTGAGGTGCATGCATCTCCAACGTTTGTAGACGATCATCCAGATGATCGACTATCAGGATTTTCCTTCCCAGTCCTTCAGGAAGCTCCAGGGTAAGACACATGAGTGACCCCGTGCTCTCTGTTTCAAAATACTTGTTTGTCTCTGAGAACTTAGATGTCATCCTTTCTCTTTTCAGGATTTCTGCTGAAGGTCACAACGATGTGTATGAGAGCACAGAAAATGTCTACGAGGACATCACTACGTCTTCGGGCAAAAATAAAGCAAAGAGTGACGGTGGAAAGAAACGCAAAGGACCCCCAAAGAGTGAGCAGTCTTTTCAGTTATCATATTAGTAATAAGATATTTGGAACACCAGATATAATTGCATCGGTCATATAACTTTGATACGACATATAATTCCCTTTATCAAATAAACATAGACTGAAAGTTCATATGTTTTGCTATATGATGCCTGCATGCATGAAGTGTGACATTTACTGTAACTAAATCCTCCTATTCTAAAGATGGAGTATTAGCATTCATCCATTCATTTAAATGACAAATACCAACACTATACCAACATTTCTTAAATAAATACCAAAAAGAAGTGTGATTTTATCTTAAAAATAGACCAGCTCATTGCTTGTTATCAAAGTTGACTTAAAGAATTATGAACCTCTTTATTTATCACAGATCCATATGCTGAGGCTCAACAAGAAATAGTAAGTAGCTTTTGTGAGAATTTGCTTGCCTCCGTCTGAAGTCACTTTTAAAATAAAAAAGACGTGAGATAAGTCATGCTGTTGGAGATTCAATGCAAGTTAAATAAAGCCTTAACTCTTTGTTGTTGTTTACAGAATGTAGAGAAAATCAAGACGGGCAGGTTCGGCAGGTAAGGCCATATGCTTTTTTGACCCAGTTCATTTTCCATCTCGATTTCCCCCCAGACGATGTTAGAAATAAGAATTCGATCTGCCTTTGTTTCCCTCATAATCTCCTCTGCCATTTAAATATCCTGCAAGGAGTCCCTTTCAAACACACTGATATAACTCATTCTCTCCTCTGCAGGAACGAAAAGAAAGCTGAAGGGCCGGATGAGAAAGAGCTGAAAAAGAAAGAAAAGCAGCGACTGGAGAAGGAGAAGAAGGAGCTAAAGGAGAAACAAGAAAAGGAAAAGAAAGAGCAGAAAGAAAAGGAAAAGAAGGAGAATGAGATGAAGAAGAAATTCAAAGTGAGTGCTGTTGTTTTGACGGAGCAGGGAGGTATGGCAGGTGTACGAGCGGTGGGGGAGGGTGGGGTATGTGTCTTGGCATACAAACCTGTCGGGATTCATTCCTCCTGGTGGAAGAGCCGTGCTGAGCACCATGAGCAGGCTCAAATGGAATGTCTAAACATTGTTTCATTGTTTTTTTACGACAGACAATATATAGTCTGTTCTTTATTATGCAATGTACTGTTACCATATTCACACAATAACTTTCTTCAGGATCTAGTGGGTCCTGCATACGTTCGAAAGCTTTGAAACAAATGGTTCTGACCAGACAAAGACAAATGGATACATTTGAGTTAGAACTAGCAGTACAGAGAGAAACTATCCAACTCGTTCTTGAATGTTACTATAGTTACATAGTGGATCATTGAGCAGCTAATGGACCAGATATTTGCCTATGAAAACAAAGTTAAAATAAGAGCAAATATTGAACAAAAAAAACAGTTATTGCAGGTTTAAATTCAAACCCTTTATTTTTTACTGCAAACACTTTGACTTGTGATAACAGGAAAAGCACAGGTGGAATTGGAAACATTAACTATGGCTCAGTGCACCATTAAGTCAGTCCCTCTAAGTGGGAAACCGTTCATGTTAATAATAATAATTACACCTGTGCTTTTCCTTCTGGATCATGTCAATATATCTGCTGTGAAAAAGATCCATTAAAAAGTTTGATTTTGTTTACATTCTCTGTAGAAAGTCTCTGTAGTTTGTTTGCATATACACATATATGTGAGGTGTTAACCTGCCGCTGTATTTGTTAGATCACAGGACAGGAGGACGCCATCTACGAAGCAACTGTAACCGTGGCGACCAAGGGACGTAAAAATGATCTGTCCGCCAACAGCGGGGACATCATCAGCATCATCAGTACAACCAACTGTCCCAAAGGGAAATGGCTGGCCAGGGACAGCAGCAACAACTGTGAGTTTTTAATTAAAGCCATGTGTTATCATCAGCATTTTGTTCAGCTAAAGGGTAAAAGGAGGAACAAATGGATTAATGGAAAGTCAGAGAATAACATAATAACTTTACAAAAGTGTTCGCACTGAAAACTTGAAATACTGTAATTGTGGGATTAAACCAATAGATTACACTAGGCAGGCCCATGTAGAAAATTAGATTCAATGCTCCGGGGCTATATGCTACATAATTAAAATCGAATGAAAATGATTTAAAACAAACCAAGCACAGCTAATTCTGTCGATTTGGGTCACATGTGTCAAACTCAAGGCCCGGGGGCCAAATCAGGCCCTTGGTGGATTTAATTTCGGCCCGCAGGATCATTTTTAATTACTATTAGATCTGGCCCGCCGGTATATTGCACGCACACCTTCACTCAATCCTGAGGGTTTCTTCAGCTCAGAGTCTGAGCCCAAACATTGATGAACTAGCATCCAAGATGAGATGCCAAGTATCTGAGCTAGCATCACAGAGCAGCACACTGAGTTTAATGGATGTTTCCTTCTGCACTTTTGTTCTTGTGACAACAGGGCATGTTTGGTGTTTTCTTTGAGGGAAATTGATTTTTTGAAGCTGTTGTTGGCCTGTGGAAAAATGTAATCATAAGAAATGACTCCGGAAAAGCTGCAGATAGAGGCATAAGAAATGAATGTGACTGATTATTTAATGTTTAATGTTGTTTTTATAGGCAATAATTTAAGCTTTGTTAGTTCCAGGTTTAATATGTGCAATAAGTTAATTTCAATAAGTTCTGCAATAAACATTGAACCAGTCCGGCCCTTGACTAGTACAGATTTTTTTATTTTGACCCACTGTGTATTTGAGTTTGACACCCCTGATTTATATTGATCAAATGAAAATGCACACACAGAAATGATCAACAAACAAACAATCACATTCCTTGATTGTGTATCACGGCACTGACCCTGTGTGTGTTTGTTACAGACGGATATGTTGCCGTGGATCATGTGGAGCTGGACATCAAAGAGATGCTGGAGCTCGGAAAGAAGGCGGCCATCTCTCGCAGGGGCAACAACAACAACATTGTGGTCTCAGAGGAGGAGGTTACCAGCTCGGGGACCAGGTAGGAGGGCACACTCCCTCAATCATTCTTCCTCACACTGTTGGAAGATTATTTATAGCTGTATTTCTCTCTTTTTCTCAGGGCCTCAAACCACTATCCATTGTCAGCGGAGAGCTGTAAGTATCTTGCTGTTCTTATTCATGAAAACTGTGTTGATCTTATTCTGCATCAGTCTGATGTTGATGTTGTGTGCAGTCACAGATGACAGTGAGGAGTGGACCGGTGACGAAGAAGAACCCACCTCCCCTCCTCCTGATACCGCAGATCCACTGACTCCAATGTAAGTCAGGATAGATCTACATTATGCTTTTGATTGATATTACATCTTGAGATAGAGACCTATCAGCACCATTGACACTGATCTCTGATAAGTCATCGCTGGCTACACGTTCAGTTTCTTATTATCAATGCCTTGTCTTGTCAATCTGTTTCCTCTGCAGGGGCCACAACAGGACACTCTCAATGCCAGATATGGGTAAGACATTTAAAACAGGACTTTCTTCAACACATTGTGTTCCTAGCTTACTGTTTATACTTAACAATTAGTGATGATGTAAGGCAATGTGTGACTGGTTGTGTTATGTACCACACAGTGTGACACTTGTGTTTCTCATATGGTGTCGACCAGGGCCGGCCCTCGGCATAGGCAGTATAGGAGAATGCTAAGGGCGCATCAACCCATAGGGGGCGCCAACAATTAAAAAAGTTATAAATAAAAAAATAAAAATTCCCGATTTTGGATCAACAAAGTACATCTTATTATCTTATACTAACAGAACTACGCCTATATTGCGTACAGCGCCCATAAACTATGGCACACACCCCCCCCCCCCAAAATCAAGTTGAACTGCCCCAGCCGGTTTATGTGGAATTGTTCTTTTTTTGAAATAATGGTTTTAGTGTGCAATTATAGGTTTTAATTTTGTATTTGTGTTCATTTTAAATACATCAAACTCCCAAAAAACGTACACAGCTTCTGTGTGCTTTTATTAACATTGGAATTTACATCGTAAGCGGCCGCGGGGGGGGAGAGCTTTAGAGAGCTCTCTCCTGAAAGACTGAGCGGCTCTGATAACCTCAGCTCAGTGAGGTAAAGGCACACCTTTATATGATCATTATAGTTATAAAAAAAATAAGAGAATAGGTGAAAAACAGGTATAAAATAGTATATGACAGTACAAAAAAGTTGTTATTAATAAACAACAATACAGTTTGAAAGGGGAGTGATTTGTAAAATATCCATGAAGAAAAAGAAAATCTGCTTACAGTTCTGTTTCATATGGGTGTTGAGAGATGTATCCATAGATCTCTTAATGTTGCTCTCATATGCACCAGATTGATGCTTTTAACTTCAATATTAAAAAATCCGGGGGTGCATGCCCCCGGACCCCCCTAGAGGAGGTGGTCCCCCCCCCATTTAAATCATTATCAAATGGATAGGAAACTAAATACAGTTGCACACATCTTGTGTCCATATCTTTCTGTTTTGGTGGTCATGCCACAACCGTGCACGTGCAAGTCATAGTGAGTGTCTGCATTTGGGGGGGGGGCAAGCTAAAATCTGGTGTCGACACTTGTTGTATCTCCTATCTTGATATAAGTGTGCAGATACAATAGAGAAGCGATGTCATGTCATCAGGACTTTTTGTCAAGCTACTGGAATCCCACTCCCTTCTGTACTAATCATCATTGAAAGACTCACAGAAGTCTCATTAGCAGAGGAGCAGGTTGTTTGAGTTCACAGGAAGATATTAGTAATTCAAGTGTGTTACAATGACTCCAAGGTTTAGTGTCTTCAGTACCTGTGTGCTTATGATATAATTAATGCAATAGGTCTGTGTTGTAAAGTTCTCGCCTGTATTTGTCTTTTTCATTTTATTAGGAAACAGAGATCTAAGCATAAACCACCAACACAGTCAAAGTGACATCAGCGGAGAGGGCACACATGACAAGTGAGTTTACCTGATTCTCTCTTACACATATATACTTCATTGTATATAGAATAGTATTTGACTCTTTTATTATTCATTTTTCATTAGAGCAAGACATGAAGCACTTCAGAAATTGGCCACATTTTTCCATGCACCAAAACCTGCCGAACCTGCTCCAAGGTAGGCATGAAGCACGAACTGCACATCCGCTGTACGCACACGCGCACACACACAAACACACACACACACACACACACACACACACACACACACACACACACACACACACACACACACACACACACCACACACACACACACACACACACACACACACACACACAAACTGTGTTTTAATTGTTGCTTTTCCTTATTTTTTACAGCAGCATTGAATCAGAGACAAGTAAGTGATGTCTGAACATCCCTGATTGTTAAATATAGAAACATTATAAAGTAAAATGACTATGTGTTTGTATAATAATGTCCAACATGATAATTTCATTTTATAAAGTTTATTGTGAATACCTATAGTATTGGTTTTTTAAATAAAAATCAGTTTATCCATCTATACCATTTAAAAAGCATTAGATTTGACTGAATGTGTTTCCATCACAGGTCCTGTGCTAGTGGAGGAGGAAGAAGATTCCCTGTAAGTAGAGTTATAAAACACACACACACACACACACACACACACACACACACACACACACACACACACACACACACACACACACACACACACACACACACACACACACACACACTCGTGCACAAAGGACAAAGCTAAGGTTGTGCAACCTGTAGACAGAAAAGTTTCCTTCCTTTTTGCCCTTTGTATTATTCTGCTGAGCATGACATTCTTTGTTTGTTGTTTTGTTGACAGTAGTTATCTTGTGTCTGGTAGGATAATGAGTTGATTCCATGTACTGGACTTTTTACAAGGAGTTATATTCATAGTCATACTGATGTTACCCTCCTTTTTTCCTGCTGGCACAATAACCCACATTGCAGCACCTCATACTGAACTGTAAGTTTCTGGGTTGTGTTTGGGCATGTTGAATAATTAAAAATGTGTTTTTCTTACAGGCCTGAAGTTACTACATTAGATTTTGATCATCCTGACATGATCATTTTACCTCCTCCTGACATGTATGCTGATCTGACAGTGGAGTAATTCTCATACTGTAAACAAGGTAAGAATAAATCGCCTGTACTCTCTCGTCACTACATGACATCACTGTGCACTTCACTTACTGACACATTGTTTTTCTGTTTGTAACAGCAGGACAAAGAGCAGCCAGGCAGAGGAAAAACAAAAACAAACATGTGTCCATACTGTTATTGTGCACACTGTGACCCGTGTCAGTCACCCAATACTGTGACAGTGTCTTCATCTTCCTGACTGTGACCTCGTTTACCTGGTGACGGCATTTATGGATCAGTATGATGATGAAGAGCATCGAGATAAGGAGATTTCTCAACAAGCGATACACCGTCTCCTCAAACTGTTTTGTAAGCTCTCCGTGTGAAAGCAGAGGGACCTGGTGGCTCTGTATGACTTTGAAAAATTGGACCATTATGAGCTGCTGATCCCAGGAAAAAGAAGTACAACATTTTTCAAACACACCTCATGCGTTCGAAAATGTTCACACGTCATGTGCAAATAACCTAAATAAGGGGAAGACGATGGAAAATGTAGATTATTCTCAGACCAGTTTAAGAAAACAGTGTGACAGCAGACATAGGCAGTGAGAACAGGCAGATTAGTTTACTTCTCATTTTCATTCACATTCCGAGAAATCACTAGTCAGGTTATTCCTCAGGATAATCTAGTTAGTTAGTGTCCAATACACTTGTTACCAGTTTACAGTGTTGGTAGCAAAGGAGTAAATGGAAGTATAGCTTGTAGACATACAAATGAATAAATTACATATATAAACTTACATAGTTCTTTTTTTACTTAATACTGGGCTAGTCAGTTCTTCCATGTGTTTTTGTATTATTGTTGTTTTTTTGTACATGAGTATCTTTTCTACTTCTATGTACCCCTGTTAGTGTTGTTAAATATCATTATGGATTATAGAAGTGCATATGTAACTCATGTCATAGTATTTAAATGCTGAGCTTTAAAGATATTATGTATAATTATCTTTAATGGCACCAATAACCATGGAGGGAAATCTAAAACAAAGACCAGTTGCTATGTATTGTTCACAGTTGCACATTCTGGAGGGAAGCACAATCCATACACTTTATTTTCTTTCTTTAATTTTTATGGAGCGGATGTGTAGCAGGTGTCACTTTTATCTTACCGCCTTTCTTCTACGACTTTCCCTGAAGCTGATGAATACCAAGTGTTATAGAAAGACAAAGTGGTGTGATGATCACCTGAGGTCATTTTTGTGAGTAAAATGTTGTTTGTCAACATCTAAGGGTGCATTTTTGTCTGGAAAAAACACCTATATAATCCTCTGTGATGGTGTGATGATTTAGGACAAAAACATTTTCCTTTTATATGTTGCTTTATTGTTTTTCAATAAATACTCTTCAAGTTCAAATTATAACAGCAATTTCATGCAGTGCGTAACAAGAGAAATCCAAACCCCAATCAGACAGAGACAGGAAGAGAAGCTGTGACAAACACAGGCTTATACATTTTCTTTCCCAATAACCAGTGCGCGCACACACACACACATGCGCGTACAACATACACAGGTGTATTTAAGTTACTTATCATAAAAACCCACCACAGATAAGAGTATTTGATTCGGCCCCGTCTGTTTCCCAGCTTTAAACACAGATTAGAGTCTAACTACTAACATGCCACTGGTAGTTGCATACAGTTGTAATGTACAGTGCTGCATCTGACAGTAAATACTGGTTATATCAGGAAAAATACCCATGACCTCTCCAATGCAGAATCAGATGCATAATGGGCCAGATGTGATCCTGATGTGAACCGAGTCGCTCACTAAACAGAAGTCATTAGACACAGCAGCACTGGAGTTTAATATAGAGGTTTGACATCCATTGTTGTTTAAAAGCTGTGTGCAGTGGCATGTGTCTGGCAGCGGGAGCACATCGGAGTATATTCAGTGTATGTGACGCCACAGACAGGAAAGGCAACCACACAGGACGTAGAAACAGGATAATGTAATAAAGGGATTTAGCAGAGGAACAAGAATGTGGCTTTCACTGTTTCAACCAAAAGCCTTCACAGTGCTCTCATAAGGCAATTTGACTCCATTTTGAGTTTGATGCAGACAATAATCACTCCAATCAACAAGTAGAGTAACCAACTCGTCCTACATCAAATTAAGTCCAATAAAGTTATAAAACACTAACTGGTTGAATAGTCAGCGATGTGTGTAAACCTCCAACGTGCCCAAAGTTTCTGAAATGTTTTCCCGTTAATCTCCTTTTTAACTTGAAAAAAATAAACCCCTGCCTGCTACCCCAAAGCCTGTGAATATAATGATGGATAAAAAGGTATAACACATTACGAGGGTGTGTAATATATTATATATTGGCCATTTTGGAGTTGTGTTACACCTGTCTTAAGTAGAGTGCTTACTAACCCCCTACATATTTGACTGAGAACAGTAGAAAGGCAACACCTCTATGAAAACAAATACGCTGCTCTAAAACCAAGGAAAGAAACCGAGAGAAAGACGGACAGGAGGATTTATCTGAGCAGCATCAACTTTCACTTAACATGCAGTCTGAAAACATAGGACAAGAAACAACAGGTACAGTAAAGCTTATGTATCCACAACAAGGCTGTGATGCAATACAACACTAAATCTGCAAATGAGTTTTAAAGTGCAGACGAACAGACAGCTCAACAGTAGGAACACACAGAGGACAGCCCCAACACACAGACATCACATTTTGACACGACTTTCTACCAACTTTAAAGTCACTGCAAAGATCCTCCAGACAAAGAACAAGAAAGTCATGTGACACACTCATCTGATCTCCTCTACACACACACTGGCTCATGCACACACTCTCCATAAACACATGCACAGAATGACTGTGTTGCATTCTTTAAGGCAGCTGGAAAAAGGTTTCTGTGGCTCGTCCTGCAGCAGATACACACCAGCTCACATGGATTTATCATCTTCTTCTCATCGATTGTCATCATCACCTCATTATCTATTCGTACACACGGCTAATTAACTTTATTACTTCTAGAATGATTAGTAGCCATTTTGAAAATTGATTGACTTTTGTAGTAATTTATGAAGTAAATATTAATATGCACAGAGAAAATCTATTCTAGACCTCACATTAGGCGCTTATTGTTGATGGAATTATTTCTCCTTTTAAAAGGCCTAAGGGGAATACTTTGTTTTTGATTGTTATTAATTGTAGCCTAGCACATGGCTTCTTTCTTAGCTCACTGCTTATCTGACTGACTGCCATGTTTTTCAGTTATATTCTGTACATGCATGACTACGCAACATTAACGCATTCATTCACTTAAATTAAGTGTAGAGTGTGTGTGTCTTTTCTTTGGAATATCAGAGAATATCATACCTATGCACAGTCCGTTGCTTCACAACAATAGTCAGATTATGGGGTGGTTGTGTAAACTCCTGTGAGATGGTGTGTATCTGTGCTTCAACACTGATCAGTGTTATGCAGAGTATTATCGCCCGACTATCCGGCTGTCTCTCCAGGTTCATTAATCTTCTACAATCTATTCAAAATCAGGATAAACCTCTACGTAGATTCTGTGCTTAAATACTATAATAGTGCCTAGATAACAATCTTTCAAAAATAAATATGGATCTGATATCTAAATAATAATCTATTTTATGTTGTATAAAGTCTGTTATTTGGTATACCTTGGCCAACCTTTCCACCCACGTTATACGATTGCATTATAAATATATTTTTTACATGAAGAACAAAAGCAGTTTACAAACCATATAATATAAAATCTGAAATAAGATTTTATATGTTTTAACTTTCCCTCAGAACACAGATTCAATGTAAAGTTTATCAACCAGTGTCTTGATCACTATATAAGACAAATATTAAAACTGACCTCTGATCAGTGGCTGGGGCAAACTCAGCAGGATCAGTGTATTTTGGGCTGATGACAGCAGTTAATAACAGATTGAAGGTGTTTGTGGGAGTAGTGACATTAAACTTGACCTTTGCAGACTGCAACCCGACTGAGCTGTGCCCTAATGCCTCTCTCTATGCCGACCAGTTCACAGACTCCACTCCCAGGATCAGTTTTCATTAGCTGTGGCTGGATGTTTAAACTCTAAGACTCTGACCCCATGACTGTGTCAAAACAAGAAAAAAGAAAACTAATTATCTGCCTCTCTGAGAAAGGCTTCCTCTCTATGTCTCCTTGATCTGAGGTGACAGCCATTCACCCTTCCAGTCCAGTACCACTGGAGCTGAGATGGCGAGGAGACAGAAAGAGGAAGTCACTCCGAACCTCTACACTCCCTACATCCCAGATCAGCATTTGGCTTTAAATCCCCACTGACACCCAGGTGGCAGCGAGGTGAGGAGGTCTCAGCGTGCGAGCGTAGTGATCAAACTGGCACACATTTCAAAGAAGTCCATGGTGTGTGATCCCTGGCGTGAGGTGAGCAGGGGGGAGGGGCCAAACAATGACCCCGGCAGGGAGGAGCTGAGCAGCTGCATGTCCAGCGCCGGGGTCGCCGAGTCGATGCTCAGTCTGGGTCTGTGCAGTCCGGCCGTGGAGCCCGACCTCTGGGGAGTGGACGACCCTGATTTACCTGCCGCCTCGATGATGTCATCTGGGGTGATGAGAGAATCAGATGATCAGAGAGGTAATGAGGTCAATGTGTTTGTATAGCGATTCTAAAATGATATAGGAAACGTTTTTTGTCTGTTGAATTCAAATGTTTAACGTGCATCCATAATGCAATTACTGGATTAATTATAAATCACAACCAATTACTCTCATGTTAAAATAAATTCAAGTACTCTAAAGAAAAATGATTAAATTGAATTTGGAATTTAGCCTTTAAAGTGGACCTATTGTGCTATATTGGAAAAATATATTGTAGGACCATACCTATACAAAACATGTCTGTGAAGTTTGACATTTATATGATTTGACGTCATATCGGCAGCAAATCTGTATCCGCTCGTTGTACCCCTGTTTTTAAACGATTTGGGTATTTTCAGACGCTGCGGGAGTTCCCCGACGCAACGGGGACACATATTTATGTATAAAAGACATCAAAAAGTGCATTTTGCAGGATAGGTCCCCTTTAAACAAGGCAAATTCAATCTTAAAAAGAGAAGATGAGAATAAGGCAGAGGTAGAGGACGGTCACGATCTACTCAGGATAATTGGTGGTAAATATTTTTACAATTGTTTATGTGTGTAGAATAATCTAACGCATAGGAAAGCACGGCATATATACATGACGAATGAAAAGATGCCTTTTGTGCTTGCGTTTGTAAAAGAGGTGGCCTGCGTAGGCTGCATCGTAAGTGCAAATTGATGCTTAAACAAGTACCAGAAGTGCACCCTGCATAAACACTCAGCTAAAGCAGATTTTAGAGCCGTGAAATTAGGGCAGACAAATTGAGTTGCAGTGTAGCAACATTGTGAATGCATTTGCTATCAGAGAAGAAAAAATTCTTTATGATGCAAATGTTCTTTCATTTAGGTATGCATTATTCCAAATGATAGGTGTTTTGTCTGTCACTAACCATCGATGCTTTTGAAGTCGAGGAGGTAAGATCTGCTGTCCACCTGGTACAGCTGCAGGCTCATTTTCACCAAGTTTCCTGTCACTGGATTCTTCCTCCGCACCCGCAGGTGATATGGGTTCACCACCTTCAGAACATAAAACAGACCATGTAATTCATATATACGCCTTTGTAAATACTGTATGTATACGTTATGTGTAAGACACGTCCTCTTACCTTCCAATCAAAGCTGAGGGTTCTCATAGCCCTGTACACTTCAGCCATGATGTCGTAGGGTCTGCTCTGACTCCTGATGCCGAGGTGCCACTTGGCCTTCTTCACTGCTAGGGGTTTGGGCCGGGTGGTGTTGAGAGCATCCAGAGAACAACGAGCCTTTGGGCTGTCGGCCAGGAGGGGAGGCATCCTTTCTGGGTGGGCTTTAACCCCGGGGGGCAGTGGCATGCCCTCTTCTATGAAGGAGCCCTGGGGAGGACTGGAGGCCAGGTAGAACTCGCTGGCCTGGGTCATGATGCGACGGTTGTCTATTATCAGGTGATAAGCTACGGACAGATGATCCTGCATAGACAGGGAGGAAGCACAGTCATTTAAAGACTAAAGAGATCATTCATTGAAACCAAAGGCAGACGTTGATGTTGGCTAAAGTAAAGTAAATAACTCCCAACTTTAGCGTCAAATATCTTATAACACATTGTTTCACTGCCAAGATCATGACACCAAATATATGGCTTCACTAAAGCAGTCACAGTTTAGTAAACAGAGAAAAGGCCAATTTATTTCTTTAAAAAGTGTCTTGTGTACCTGTGGATCCCCGCTGTAAAGGCTGGACACAAACTCTGTCTCGGTGCATTCAAACTTCTCGCATACTTCCCTGACGGCCTCCTCATCCAGCACTGACGAATCGTACAAGGGGTCCTCGGGGAACAGGTAGCACGGCAGGTCCTGCTTGAACCACTCGTGTTCCCTAACAGAGAGAATAACCGTCAGTTATCAGAAAACCCAACCTAATGTCATCTCAAAATGTCACAGTATGACATTTAAGCTTTCATGAGCTCAAACTGTTGTTAAACACATCAGGCTGTTTTTGTAATCACTAGGGATGTAACGATATACCGAATATCGCGGTAAATAAACGTCCCAATACCGTCGTGAGACTGACAAAATCTACCGCGATTTTTTTTTAAATTAATTTTTTACAAAGAAATTGTTTTTTTAAACACTTTTTTTGTTTTTAACCTTTATTTAACCAGGTGGTCCCATTGAGATCATCAATCTCTTTTTCAAGAGAGACCTGTCCAACATGGCAGCAAGTAGGTTACAACATGAACATAAAACAACAGAACACAAAAGGACATCATATTTACAGGGCTACATTTACACACCTAGAGACATTGATAAGTACCAACAGTATATTTATATCTCGCCCTGTCAATAAGCCTCACCTTCTTGGCAAAAACTGTATTGTTTTTGAAGTGGTGGAGAGACAATGCACAGTTTGACCCACTGCTGTCACCCATGGCCAAAGCATATCTCTCCGTCCCACTGAGGTGGCGTTAGACTTTTTCGCTGTCCGTCATTTTGACAGACAGGATCGTAAAATATCCGTCATAATCCCTTATTACCGGGTCGGGTCTGAACAGAGAGAGAGAGAGCATGCTCGTGAACTGTCAACGGGGGGGGGCGGTGTTATGCCGTATGTGCATGCACCTCGCGGGAGCGCACACAGCGTAAAGCAAAACCTCCCAGACATGTATTGATCTGTACGGCAAAGTATGGTTTGGAAACTATATAATTTCCTTTTGAAGGGCATGCATAACACGGCATAACACCAGAGCCACGCTGCGGGGAAACGTTGGCGCTGTTCCGAGTTTGTTCTAATCTGTCAAAATGACAGACTGCTTTCAGATTTTTCCGTCATTGTTAAATAAAATATTCGGTTAACGCGACCACTGCTGTCCCAGCAACATCAGTACCAAGCGAGAGAGTTTTTTCCAGAGCAGGGGATATTGTAAATGCCCAAACATCCCAGCTTATAAATACCTGGAAATGTGGACATTCTCATATTCCTAAAAACCTGTCTGATGATGCTGAGTGAGTGACTAGTGAGTTTGAGTTGAGTTACTTGAAAAACTAAAGTGAAACTTGATTTATTTTATTGCAGGGTCTGATTATTAAATGTTTATTTGTGAGATGCAGTGGCACAAAGAAAATGCCTACTTTGTTTGGTAGTACTATAGGTACAAAAACACTGGTTTTCTTGTTCCAGTCTGTTACTGTCACTTTGTTTTTGACACTTTAAAATACTGCTATCCTACTAAAATGCTGTACAAATGAGATTTATTATGTAATAAAGAAACATTTTCCTTTTTTTTTTCCTTTATTATTCAATATCACGATAAATACCGTACCGTGGACTTGTTATCGCGATATTATCATACCGTGAGTTTTTGGTATCGTTACATCCCTAGTAATCGCACTTCAGATGGGGGACCTTTACCATTATAGGCCAAGCACTAAGATAAGAGAAAATACACTTCTGTTTGATGTTAACTTCAATTTTCCCACTGCTTTGAGAAATAAAATCTGATGACTGAAAATGCTGGGTTCTAGGCAATGTGGTGAAAAAAGCTGAATGACAAATGTTAATCAATCCTCAGCAGAGTGCAGAGACTAAAGCCAATGCAGCTCTTAACAATGATTTAACCTGTGTGACCATGGCAGGAATCAAGAGAAGATAAATGCGGCACACAGAGTGGGGGGAGCACCTTATGTCTTTGATGGTGGCTCTCTTCAGAGGGTCCACCTGCAGCATGAGTGTGAGCAGCGAGGCCACCGGGCGAGTCAGGTACTCTGGCATGTAGAAGACCCCTCCTCTGATCTTCTTGAACAGCGTGGGGACATGGTCATCATCGAAGGGCAGCGTGCCGCACAGCAGGGCGTACAGGATCACCCCACAGCTCCAGATGTCCACCTCTGGGCCGGCATAGAGCCTGACAGAGCCATGAGAAGACGTGACAGGTAATCAACAAACATTTTATATAGTAATATTAATATAAGATTTTGTTAAGGGTTTTATTTATGCTTTTACGACACCAATGAATTAGTTCGAGTTCTGTTTGTGAGTCTTCTCATTTTTCTCTCTTCAATCCCATGTGGGTTAGGACACACACACACACACACACACACACACACACCTTCCTGAGATGACCTCTGGAGCAGCGTAGTTGGGTGAGCCACAGCTCGTCCGTAGGAACTCCCCATCTGACATCATGTTCGACAGACCTGTTGGCCAAACGCGGGATAAATATATCAGATGCATATTAACACCCTTCAGTGTTTACTCTGACAATAACACAGACTAATGAAACAATCCTCTATCATCATATTATTGCTATTGATCCTTTGGTTAAATGAACATGGCCCCCTGACAGGGAGGGCAGAGTTTTACGTTGAGGGCACGGCTGATATCTTTATCCTCATTTACCCGCCAAGACTCTGAGCTCTAAGCACAAAGCTCATCTAATTGGATGAGCCTGTCTCTGCCTGCCAGGGCCTCTGTCAAACGCTAAACACCAGACAGTCTGTGAAGTGCTGACCTTCTCTTTATCTTTTAGCCCGGTTCCTTTAACACTCCCTCTCCCTGCTCTCCAGTGTCTGTTGCCCTCAGCCAAAACACTTGCTGTAAGCCCCCACGATTCCTTCCCTATCAGATGACACTGGGCCTCAAGGCTTCCTGCCAGACATGATATGAGACCTGGCCGTTGCTAGGGGACCTCTCTGCAGCCCACACACCCTGCTGTGCACATGGGCCTTAGTGTGTTTGTGAAAATATTTCTCTCTTTCATGGTCTTATTGCCTCGGGTACAGTCTCTTAACAAATCAGCCAGAAAAATCATGCCATAACCGATGAGAAACTGTGCTCAGTGAGAAATAAATGTTCATTTACTTATGAGGTTAACAGGTGCAAGATGGTGATTTCACACTTTTGTATGAGTGTATAATTAAGTGTATGACTTATATAACTGCAACCAATGTTCTCTTGCCTCTAATCAACTTTCCAATTGCTCTGCCACAACTCTGCCTCTTCGTGTTTCTTTTTTCCCCCATGAAAATATTTTGTTGTGCTTTCTCTCTTCTTAAATTCCCTAACAATTATTCTGCTATACCAATCCTTTTGTCTCTCCTTTTAACTGTAAGTCTCTAGGGTTCCTACCAAAGTCAGCTATCTTGGCGTTCTTGCTGGCATCCAGCAGGACGTTCTCAGGTTTGAGGTCTCTGTGGACCACCATGTGTCTGTGGCAGTAGTCCACAGCTGAGATAATCTGCTGGAAAAGACGCCGAGCTTCTGTGTCCTCCACCTGAAAGACACAATATGAAATCCACATGATCGAACCGTGAGTGTTTTTCTGATTGTTTGGTAAGAACGTTGGATAAGACGTGTTGTTTTGAGCAAATGTATCATGTTCAGGGCTGGTCATGAGGTTGTTATGGCTCATGGCCCAGGTCCAAATAGGATTATTCTTTTAAAAATAAAGACAGTCCCAAGAAGAGATTGTCTTTACGTAGATGTCTTACGTGTGCTTGTTTATACAGTGGGGCAAAAAGGTATTTAGTCAGCCACCAATTGTGCAAGTTCTCCCACTTAAAAAGATGAGGCCTGTAATTTTCATCCTAGGTACACTTCAACTATGAGAGACAGAATGGGGGGAAAGAATCCAGGAAATCACATTGTAGGATTTTTAATGAATTAATTGGTAAATTCCTCGGTAAAATAAGTATTTGGTCACCTACAAACAAACGAGATTTCTGGCTCTCACAGACCTGTAGCTTCTTCTTTAAGAGCCTCCTCTGTCCTCCACTTGTTAACTGTATTAATGGCACCTGTTTGAACTCGTTATCAGTATAAAAGATACCTGTCCACAACCTCAAACACACTCCAAACTCCACTATGGCCAAGACCAAAGAGCTGTCAAAGGACACCAGAAACAAAATTGTAGACCTGCACCAGGCTGGGAAGACTGCATCTGCAATAGGTAAGCAGCTTGGTGTGAAGAAATCAACTGTGGGAGCAATTATTAGAAAATGGAAGACATACAAGACCACTGATACTCTCCCTCGATCTGGGGCTCCACGCAAGATCTCACCCCGTGGGGTCAAAATGATCACAAGAACGGTGAGCAAAAATCCCAGAACCACACGGGGGGACCTAGTCAATGACCTGCAGAGAGCTGGGACCAAAGTAACAAAGGCTACCATCAGTAACACACTACGCCGCCAGGGACTCAAATCCTGCAGTGCCAGACGTGTCCCCCTGCTTAAGCCAGTACATGTCCAGGCCCGTCTGAAGTTTGCTAGAGAGCATTTAGATGATCCAGAAGAGGATTGGGAGAATGTCATATGGTCAGATGAAACCAAAATAGAACTTGTTGGTAAAAACTCAACTAGATGTGTTTGGAGGACAAAGAATGCTGAGTTGCATCCAAAGAACACCATACCTACTGTGAAACATGGGGGTGGAAACATCATGCTTTGGGGCTGTTTTTCTGCAAAGGGACCAGGACGACTGATTCGTGTAAAGGAAAGAATGAATGGGGCCATGTATCGTGAGATTTTGAGTGACAACCTCCTTCCATCAGCAAGGGCATTGAAGATGAAACGTGGCTGGGTCTTTCAGCATGACAATGATCCCAAACACACCGCCCGGGCAACGAAGGAGTGGCTTCGTAAGAAGCATTTCAAGGTCCTGGAGTGACCTAGCCAGTCTCCAGATCTCAACCCCAAAGAAAATCTTTGGAGGGAGTTGAAAGTCCGTGTTGCCCAGCGATAGCCCCAAAACATCACTGCTCTAGAGGAGATCTGCATGGAGGAATGGGCCAAAATACCAGCAACAGTGTGTGAAAACCTTGTGAAGATTTACAGAAAACATTTGACCTCTGTCATTGCCAACACAGGGTATATAACAAAGTATTGAGATGAACTTTTGTTATTGACCAAATACTTATTTCCCACCATAATTTGCAAATAAATTCTTTAAAAATCAGACAATGGGATTTTCTGGATTTGTTGTTCTCATTGTGTCTGTCATAGTTGAGGTATACCTAGGATGACAATTACAGTATAGGCCTCTCTCATCTTTTTAAGTGGGAGAACTTGCACAATTGGTGGCTGACTAAATACTTTTTTGCCCCACTGTATGTGTGTGTGATTGTGGAATACCATGCTTTACTCTAAGTTTAAATCTCAAAGAAAGTTAAATGTGAGTGAAGTAAATATTAAAATTCGTATTGACAGAAAAATAAAATTGTTGTCAATCAAGTGTTCATGACTCATAAACTATAAATCATATTACTTGGAAGGTCACACGAATAGTGAAAGGAAAAGTAAGCTAGCTGTAATTTAGACAGTATTTAGCTGTCTCTGCAGAGTAGGAAAACATTCATAGTTCTAAAAAAAATGCTAATACAACTTATCCTAAATAACTATATCTCTATAGTCAAAAGAAAGTTGCATTTAGCAGTGTTTATGACCCTCAATGAAACACTGATACAAGTATTACTTGTTTAGAACACCTGCCAAATAAAACAAATCCTGTAAGTGTTGTTAAAAAAAGGTCACATCACCTCAGACACTGCTTTCCAACGCCATTACTGTGTATACAACTCGAGCTGTTACTACAGGACTAACTATTTCTGTAATGCAGTGTCCCCTGGGACCTAGTCGATGAGGATAACTTGAATTTATTGAAGGGAAAACACATTGAGATGTAGCAACTGATTTTGAGGGGGCCCTATAGTAACCTTTACACACATTTTTAAAACACATACAGACAGAAACATTATTAGAAATCAACATTTAAACTGCAAATACAGACAGCTTGAGCACAACAACTAATAAATGCAATATCTTACCCGTCCATGTTTGCAGATGTAGTCAAACAGCTCACCGCCAGAAACATACTCCATGACCATGAAGAAGTCTGTGGGTGTACTTATCACCTGGTACCTAAAACACAAACATATGCTTGTATTGACATCTACATACTGTAAGTTAATGAACACTTCTGCCTCTTTAACATCCTATCCCTACATGTAATATAACTATAAACATGTCAATAGGCTATTATATCATGTCTAGAGAAAATGTATTTGCTTCAAAACACAAAAGGAAGAAATATAAAGAAACAAATGCAGAGAAAGCGAGGCTACGCTGTGATGTATGACTGCTAAGGGTAGGCATTATTTCATAAAGGTCAGGCTTAATACAATGCAGGCCCAATCTCATGAGTGGTTGCTCTCAGGAGATTCTGTACTTCATCACAATCTGCTTTATTCCTGTTTAGACGAGTGTAGCATAACACAGCCGGCACCTTGGGCGGAAATGCACAAACCAAATCACAATTTCTCTCTTTGTCTGTAATACATTAGGACACTTATTCTTATTAGTTTCCTTTCATGCTGGTTCCAACAAAAAGGGCCAATATAGCAAACAAAGAGGCGAGTGTCCATGCAAGCTTCTGAGCCTAAAATATATGTGTGTTTGTGAATGTAAATGTTTGTGACAGTGTTCCACAGCACTCAAGCTCATATATCTGCACTAGCTTACAGTGTGTCAGTGGACTAACCCTTACCTAAAAATAACACAGATTGTTTGGAGAGAGACAGAAAGACATGGACTGACAAGGAGAAAGAGGTCAGTGAGAATGAAGGAAAGAGAAACAGGGAACACAAGGTCAAAGAAACAAAAACACAAAAGCCCAAGACATCTGGGAGAGGACAAGGATTTAGTCATGAAGAGATAATAGCCAATTCTGGATTTCTGAGCTAACCAGAAGTGTGTGTGCATTGATTTTGTATTGGCATTTCTGTGTTCTACCTCCTGGGAGCCCTGTGGGCATGCTCAGTACTGCACAAGCAGCTGTAGTAAACAAACAGGAACATGCAAAACATGCCACAACAGAGAGAACACAACATAGCAAAAGGGCCACATTACATAAGCCCCTTATTTTCAAATATCTGTTATCTCTCTGTCACTGTCAGCACTTTGAGCAGGATGTGTCATCTGTCTGCACTTACAGCTTGATAATGTGTGGGTGTCTGAACAGTTTGAGGTTCTGGATCTCTCTTTTAATCTTCCCGACGACATCGAGGCTGCGGAGCTTCTGTCTGTTTAGGATCTTTACAGCCACTTTATGACCCGTCAACTGATGCTCGCCAACTGAAAACAACAGAATACAGATATGAAGCAGATGCAGCAGGCAGATAAAAAAACACATAGGGACTCACAAGAGAGAGGAAAGATATATGTTAGGTTTGATTTGGATTATCTGAAGCACCGTGGGCTTCAACATGACAGTATATTACTGTTGTTATTACAATTATGCAAACAATGTTTTGCTCTCTTATTCCTTATCTGCTGGCCAAGTCCTTGTTTAGGGAGTTGGAGCTATCGGCCTGACTAAATCTTTGTTTTTTAAGCTGTTTTTTCATGCTTGATGTTTGTATGTATTGGATTGCAGTCAATTGATGGGTTAGTTTTTCTCAGTTTATCATTGTTTGTTTTTACATTTTTATTTCTATCTTGTGTATTTTTTCATTATTTGGATTGAAGGCAGTATTAAGTAGTCTATGCAACTAAAAACGTGTTTTGTAATATGTAAATAGGTTTTAAACTGATGTCAATTTAGATAGGATTTTTGTAATAGTTTTGATGCTTGCTAGATTGCAAACAAATATAATAAGGGGATTATGATGTAGCCAAGACATGAGGAGGGTTGTCCCCAGCTAAACTAATACATCCCTTAACTACGCACACAAGAAACATGCTTGTTAAAGCTCACAAGGTCACGCAAAAAGTGAAATTAAATCCTATAGATAGCCCTCCAGTACGTAAGGTCTGTAAAAGGTTGTCTCGACTTAGTGGGCATTAGCAGGCCAACACATGTTTGCAATGGGATCATATAGCGGACAACCTACAGCGTTTATAAACATCTAGTCAGTGACAGTTAACAACATCATGCTCACACGGTGGGTTTCGGGCAAGCTGTAAACCGTGTTTTGATGCAACACGGGGCAGAAAACCACAACACAAACTTCTTACATTATTATAAGATAATGACTGTGCATCTTCCGTTAGCTGCTGACGTACAGGTAATTTCACCTGCCATAGCTGTAAAGAGTAGCCACAGCGGGGGCTTCGTGAAAGAATTTGACTTTCAAGCTGGCGGATTCTCGAAGCACATTTACGCTTTAAATCCCTTCTGTCACAGCTGGTAACCTTCGAGCTACGCTAACTGCTCAGTGACCAGCAAGTTCAACACGGTCCGTTCAGGGGGAAAGCTAGGTGACTACTTCATGTTTACTTCACACACAAACGCACACATTCACAAAAGCACGACTTAACTCTTCACTTTCCCGAAGGTTCCCACTCCGAGCGTGTTGCCGAGGATGTAATGGCCGATTTGTACCCTGCCTTCGTGTTTCTGTTGTTGCCTCTCTGCCATCTTCTCCGTTACCGACGGCTGGGCTCGCTCGGTGTGGAGGGTGTGCTGCCCGGCTGCCTGTGGTGTGCGCGGAGGGGCGGGGCACCTCAGTAACGGGAGGAAGCACAGGAGACTCTGCCCCGTTAAGCGCACTGTCCGCTTTTTGGTCAATATTGTAGTTGAAATAGGTAACTGTCTTTCTGGATCCCATATGCTATGGTAAAACACCGCTTGTGAGTCACAACCGGGATTATGACCCCAATAGCCAAACGGCTGTTCGGTGTGCGTTTCTCACGGTGTGGTGTCGAATTTTGCATCCCGGTTAATTTCCTTCCCTGATATATAGACAGTTCACACGACTAATCTGATTCACAACGGCAGCCCATCATTATTCAAGACACACCCAAACATTTACTGATGTTTTGAGTTGTAAATAATAGGATACGTGTTATATAAATTGTCATGAAAAGATTAAAATCCCAACATTTGCATACAGTGGCAGGAGATGTTTACGGGAGTGCAATGCATGATTGTAATTCTGCTGTTTGTTTTGGTTTTTCATCCAATGTCCATAACCAGAGCAGTGTCAAGTTTCCATCTCTATGGCATATCAATGTGTAATGACAGGGACATATTCATTGTTATTCTTACAAATAAGTGCTTTTTGATGTAGTTTACGTCCTCGCTGTGATTAGTCCACACAGAGTGCAATATGTAAACTTGTTTTTTGTAAAAAACTAAGACCCCAGTTTCATTTAAAGCGTTAATATGATGCTAACCTTTCATTAATTTTTTACAACAGATGGTGTTTGTGAAGATATCAAGGGAAATAAAGTTAACCCTCCTATTGCCTTCGTCCCCCCCCCCCCCCCCCCCCCCCCTTACTTTGGTGTTCGCGGTCAAATTTGACTGGTCCGGTTTTAACTGCTAATACATTAACACAAAAACCATTAATCATCACGAAATTTCATTTAACACCCTTTCAAACTGTAAATATTGTATTCAACAAAAGTGGTGATCAGCAATTGTATATGTTCAAATGTCTACTGTGAAGGATTGCCTTAATGCAATCGAATGTAAAACAAAAAAGTTATGATTGATGAAAGTAGTAAATCGGTCAGATTTGACCCGAAGACAACAGGAGGGCTATATCGAAGATGGGTTACTAACAAAAATGAAAGACATGTTAATGTTTGACCGCTAGATGGCAGTGTAAGTCAAATTTATAATCAGTATAACTCTTGGGACTTCTGCTGCTCTGTTGAGCACTCTCTGTCAAAGTGATCTGGCCACACCAATCAAAAGTCCCTGTTCCACTTTTCCTCAGAAAAACGAATAATGAAAAGGAAAAAGATTGAATCATAAAAAAGTATTTGTGTAATTGTACTGGCAGAATCTATAAAATCTAGAATTTCCTAATCGTTTTCGAAAAATCTCCCATCTTTATCAGCGTCATGTTAAAGATGCATTGACGAAAACACATTTTTAACATATCTCTACAATGTTTCATGTTTCTATTTTATTTCATCATTACTCATTACTCAGCATAAATCTTGCAACCTTAACTTGTGAAACAAACTGTTAGAATATTTATCGTTGAATACGTTTTTTTCTTTTATAATTTTTTAAGGATAACAAAAGAATATATATTCCCATCTCCAATAGCATAGGGTTTCAGCCATGACCTGACAATAGATTCCATTAAGCATATCATTATTAATATTATTTACTCTACTGTATTCATTGTAATATATGTATTGTAGTACAATGTGCACGTTTTGACTTTAACTTCTCTGTGTCTATATACAGTTCATTCTATTTTATTCTAAAATTGAGTAATTCCATGTTTTCCTACGAAGATGAGTGAAGTATTTCCCACTATGGTAACCGCTTCACTGAAGTGCGTCTGTCACGTGCCGCTCTACCGCTGGGGGCGCTGTGTCCGCGCGCTCCTCTCCCTCTCGGTCAGTCTGAGAAAGTTTTCCATGCAGGGATGGAGGTGATTACCCACCGCTAGCAGAGGGAAGAGGGCTGAGCCTTGAAGCTGCTGGGGGAACTTGAAGAGAGCAGGGGGAGGAGGAGGAGAAGAAGGATTGATATAACAAGAGCGGCTGTCGATGCGCAGCGCAATTCCACTCACTCCAAGTCTTTGAACCAAGACAGATAAAGGGGAGCGGGCTTTCCATTCATTGCGAGCGCAGGCAACTTTTCTTTCTTGAGTCCGTGGCGCGGGTCCGTTCACCAGATAGTACTCATATATTTTAACCTTTTTATAGAGAAATTGAAACACGAGACAACGTGTCATCCGCAGATTTTAAACTTTACGAGACCTCCGAGCTTTGCATGACATTTTTTTGAAGGACTTGAGACACTGACAGACTTTCTTCACCTACCGCGTGGTGTGGGATTTTGAGCTGAAACGGGGACATTCAAATGCAAAAGTACATGTATGAGAAAGCAATGGCCCAAGAGACAAGAAACGGAGGAACCTCTACATTAAATAACAACAATGGTGTTGACAACAGCAAGAAGAAGCTGCTAATAGCGCTCGACGTCTTCTGTCTTCTACTTGGTAAGTGTTTGAAACAGTTTTGTGTGTTCCCGTCTCTGTTATAATTTGAATTGTTTACGTTTTCGCCTCACATCAGCTGATTTGAGTCAGCTGCTTTAAACTCTGCATTCACAAAAGCATGAACAAATACATAGATTAAAAGCGGAACTCACTTTCTAATAGTTGGCAGTAAAAGCCTTATCGTTTTAAAAGTATTCCCCGTTATCTGTCACAACAAGACTACTTCATCTGCAACATCCCCTTATCATGCAGTTCCAACACACCACCCCATGCCGGAGAAGCGGCAAAAACATGCATCATTATACAGGCGTTCACATTGTTTGCTAGAAATTGTGTATTTTTAACAATCTCACAATACAAACAACCTTCAAACCTTGTTTATTAATCAATATAAGACGTTGACATTCTGCTGATCGACTGACACGCGTATGGTTACTCTGCTGTGACAGCAAGATGAACATGTTGTCAACACATCATATATTGATCATTTTAAAGTCCACAGAGCATCATGGGATCTATCAGAGTGTCCTCTTGCTGCCTGCCAACACCCGGGGCATGAGTGTTTTGAAGTGTTGTAACCTGCCCTTTTTAAGTAGCCCTTGACACCCCTCCTGTGCCCTCAGAACCCTGTTCATCTGACCCTAATCCTCCAGAGGTGCCATTCTAGCTAGAGCTGTCCAAAAGTAGAGATGAAATTTGACTGACACTAAAATCGATGTAACAAAGTTGAAAATGGATTCATAGCTGATCGAACTGTCACTGAAGCCGAGGCGATGCCAATGGCCTTTACTGCGCCAACTTGTTTGTAATGTAAAGTTTGTCTGTTAGTCCTAACTTGTTATTCAGCTGGCGTCCCGTCCAGATTCAGCGTTTGTGTTGCTTTCATAGCTAGTTTGTTTTTGGCCGTTGTCACTGTAGTCCTTTTAGTTTCTGGCTCAGTGCCCCCCCCCCCCTTTCTCTTCTCTTTGTTTTCAATCCCTCCGTCTCTCCTTTCTCTCTTTTAGAAAAGGATTATGGGAGTTCTAACTTCTACACATTCTCTCCCAGAACCCTGCAAATCCCTGGCCAGCTGCCCCTGATCACTCCACTTCAAATTTCTTTCTCTCTCTCCCTGGCTCTCCCCTTTCTAGCCCTCTTCCTCCCTCTCTGTCCATGGGACTGTGTGGAATAATTGCTTAAGCATGTGTTGTGGCAGGGGAATGCCTCTCCAATCTAACAGAGAGATGGAGAGGTGGGACGCGTGGCTGACCAGGCATAAGAAGGGCAGGTGTGAGCCACAGCTTTATATGGAGAAACTGAGGCATCAACGGTAATAACACAATTGCAACATTGTCACAAAGAAACAGGATTTTATCCCCCAGGATGTTACAAATGGTACAAATTAACTCCATATTTGTTGAAGCAGATCTGCTTAACAGATGCAAAGTTTTCCAGTGGGCTTATATTGGTTAGCTTATTAAAGAACCTCAGACAACGATACGCTGTTTCATCTGCACGCATATAAATGTAGATGTGCTTTGAGCGCATGTGGAGTGAATTTCCTGCTTAAACCAACTTCCTTCACTGGTAAAAGCTTGTCTTTGCCATGTCAGACACACACACACACACACACACACACACACACACACACACACACACACACACACACACACACACACACACACACAATGCATGTAAACAACACACAGACACGAATGGTCACACAGATTCTCTTTTGTCATGCTAAACACAATCTGGCTGCTCAGTGGGGATTGGTTGGCCCACTTTAGTGGTTTAGGGGGGATCACACATGGGGTTTTCAGAGGGTGGAGGGACAGGGGAGTTAAAATAAAAAAGGAGAAAGCCCCGGAGAGAAGGGGGGTTATCAGAGGGTCCTGAATGAGGGTGTGTAGGGCTCAGATGAATGCTTTGTGTGGCATCAGAGCAGGGTGGTGTACACTATACAGCTATGCATAGATATCCTAACATTACCTTTTAATTAGTTCCTATCTGCCAGCTGGTGCTACACACACACTGTGCAGGGACACCTTTGTGTATGTTGTCCATCTACATGACACACACACCCTCAGGCATGGGTAGCACTCCTATTTGCATAAAGGACATCTGAGGCCATCTGTACTCACACACATGTGCACAAACTAAAGAATGGTTACCTCCTTATGTTGCTTCTGCTTATTAAGGCTAATGATGCAAACACAGCAGGATCACACACACACACACACACACACACACACACACACACACACACACACACACACACCCACCCAGTGCTCAACTGCTGAGACCAGAGTTAGCATGTGATTTTGGCAGCTGAGCCCAAGATCATCTGCTGAATTCACCTCGGCTCGGGTTCCACTCTTACTGAGCAGCAGAGTTGATGTAGCGTCGCTATAAGGAGAACACACACAAACGCCATACACTCACTATAAATACACAACCTCCGCCGCAGACTGAAATGACTTCTTCATTTTATTCGCTGTCCTCAACATGGCTGCATGCTGTCAGGTAGCCTATTATCATCCGGTTGAGAGTGGATGTTTATTGTGAAAACCTCTCTGAAAGTAGCCTCACCTAAACTCAGATTAAGTTTGACACAATGCAAAGGAGATTATACATTGTGTGTTTGCTTGGCACACATTAGTGCGTCTGGGTTTGGAAGCCACTCAAGAGTTTGAGCTGCTGGGCCTTTTCTGCAGAATATATACATGGATTCACCCCGGACTGGCTCCATTGACTTTCACTCCTGTGGTTTATTTTAAAGCTCCACAAGATCTGTCAGGGTGTTGCTATAGTGACTAACCACTCAAATATATTAGCCACAAGATTGCCTTTTTTCCATCGGCTTCTCAAATGTCCTGTTATCCGCTCTGATCTGCTTTACGGTCAGGTGTTCAGTGACGTGATTCTCCACGCGTGACAGACGTTTAGATTGTTATTGGTAGCGGAGAGGAGTGTAACCTTTTGGCCTGGGGAATCAGCTTCATAACTGGCCCTGGAGAATTAACCCTTTATGGCTCAAACCCAACTCTTACCTCTCCATTAGCTGCTATAGCATGACAGCAGTCAGGCACACAGCCCCTCATTAAAGCTGGAGAGGTTTAACCTCTACCTCTCCAGGCCTCAGCCACTTCAATCCTGAGCCGCTCTACAAATATTTTCCAGAATTTCTCAAATTCTTCATCTGGCTGTAGTGCCCTGGCCAAAGACTCTTGAAGTGACATCTGGTGCAATTTTGGGAGTGAGTGAACCAGGGGGCACGATGTGTGTGTATGTGCATACATAGTGCTCAGGAAAGGGTGGGAAACGGAAAGGTAGTGTCGGTCAGAGGTAGGTGTGGTTGTGAAATGAAATCCTGTCCTTTTTTTTTGGCCTCGCAGCCCATTCCCTTTCTTTCCCCCCCCCCCTTCCTTCCCTCTCTGCTCCCTCTCCACTTGAGCTTGTCTTCCGTCTTCTTAAATGGCTTGGCACTAATGACGAAAAATGGCATGAAAGATCTTTGATCACCATATACTTAAACACAATCAGAAATATATAGTAAAGTAAATGCGTTAAAAAAGTCGCCTGACAACCCACTGAGTAGTAATCCAACACCTATTAGGATGTCCCTATAAACAAAGTAAGTCCAAAACGGCTAACCTTATTGTCAGGGTAAACATTTTCAAGAGTTCTGCTTGAGTCTTTTCCGTCAGTAAGAGCAGTCTGAGAAATAATGCACAAAAGTGCTCTTGATGAATATCTAGCTTGGCACAGAGGAAAAGAGAGGTGGAATTATGTGGGGGGGAAAACATGACAGTGTACCAAATCTACATGAAGTGCGCGAGCCAAGCAGCACTCATTTGTTGTTGTTGTTGTTGTAATCAACAAATCGTAGCCATTAACTTGTTTGCTATAGGTTCCAAGAACGACCACGTGTATAGATTGAAGAGATGTTTTGGAAGTTGTTTGCATGCCAATGTTGTCTTGTCTATTCTTCTATTAGGTCAAAGGTCAGGCAGAAAAGAGGCTGATTGATCACACACAGCCATGGGCTCGATGCATGCATTTAACGGCGTAGAAGAAAATGTGACATCAGAATCAGTTCTGACTATAGTCGATATATGGTATGGTATTTACTGTGTGATTACATCACTGTATGCATGCCTCTGTGTTATCTGTGGCTTTAGGGGCGGCCTGTGGTGCGTTGTGGTGTGTTTTAATGTTGTGGCTGCAGGACGAGGCGAGGTTAGGGCTCTTAAGAAGGTGAGGAGGGTCCTCTGGCAGAAGACCATCATTGGATTATGTAATCGGATATAGATCAGCTGATGTTTATTACAACAGTCAAGCCTCAAGGCTACTAGTCCTTGAAGAATGTATGCAATTTTAAGTGTGCATTTTTGTGTTGAAATATATTTTGTAGTGTTGGCATTGCGGCCAGACATTTTCAGCCAGTTGTTGTGAAATGTGACTGCTGGTGCTGGTGCATCAGTTAAAGGACAAACCCCTGGGGTTTATGTCTGCGCAGGGCTGCGATTAGAGGTCTGTGTGGGTGTGTGTGTGTGTGTGTGTCCCATGGGGTTTATGAGGTAGAATGAGCGCCCAGAGCTGTCATTAGATGGACTGTATGGCCTCAAGGGTGAAAGAGTGTGTATATACGTGCACGCTCAAGTCTGCAATGCATGTGTGGGTAGCATGTGTGAGGCATCTGTGGCTTTATGTGTGTATGTGTGTATCGCATGCGTTTCCCGTGGGCAAGCCAGAGGGATCATGTTGACGGATGTGACTGTTTCTCTTTATGTTGGTACACAAACCAGACACATTCATCTATTTATACTCTTTCCAACGTCTCCATCCGGTCAAACAATTGAATTACACAATCAAAGACAAAACTTTGACAAAAGAGATGAGCAACAGCTTGTAGTTTACTCTTGTCCTGTCTCACTCCACTCTCATCCCTGATTATATCCCTCTTCAGTAAACACCCTCAAACTGCTTATTTAGATAAAGCAGGATTGCTGGGCTGT